CTGACCGTTACTTCTCTCTATATTCTCGAGTCATGTAAATTTGATAGGAAGCACCCACAGTTTTATTCACGTCTAACGAACGATAAACGAAATAACAGAAACTTGAACAAGCTTAGAGTACCTTTCTCCAAAATGAAATTAGTTACGTCTGGCCCGCACACCATGTTAATTAGAATTTATAACCACGTATCAAATTACATTGAAAACCTGGAAAGAATTGCACAATTTAGTAAAGAACTAAAGGCATTTATTCCTAATAAATGTTATTATGACTTACATGAATTTTTTGACGATACATATATGAACAATAATAATACAAATATAAATACTTCGACATCTCTCATTAATAATTATTTAAAATTAATGTATTTTATAAAGTATGTTTTCCATTACTAATTAAGAATAATGCAATGTAATAATGTGATATAATAATTTAATGTTGTGATATTATAATTATTGTAATGTAATAATTTTATATAATTAAATAGTGTGATTTATGATTCTAGCCCTCAGACGTTGCAGTGCCCTTGCAGGGCGTCACGTGTATACCATCAATTAGTGTTCCATCTTAAATTTGCAATGTGATATGCAATAAACAATTGAAATTGAAATTAAAACACTGTGCCCGTGCATGCCTCACGGCTTGCACCCTCGGCACTGACTTGCACTTTATTAAATGAAAAATATTTTTATTTAAACGAGGGTCTGCTGCTCTCGTTCTCCGTCCGAAGCAAGTACTGTCAAATACTTAAGTAATATTCGACCAAATTATAACTTTTATTTTGGTCGAGTATTATTTATTTCACAGTAATTGTTTCGAATTGATGTCGGTCATAGAACGAGAGTACATGGCAAGGACTCAAACTTAAGTTTAAAAAAAACTTGTACAGGTTACTTGGACCTGCGTATACGTGGCGTAGCGTTGGTTACTGACTTTTGACGTACCTATAATGTTCATATTGTCAGTAGAAAATTAATTCTTTAAGATTCCCCTATATCGCGAGAGTTTCAATGTAAATAACTTAATTATTTACATTGAAATATTTACAGGGACTGGATAGTTTGACTTTGCACATTAGGTAATCGCAACGGTTTTAGGGATACACGTTACGATTTGATTTTTACGAACACCGATACAAGTGAATACGATCTAGCGATTTTTTGTATCAATTAAGGCGAATCGAATCGTCTAGATCGTATTCGTAATTTAAACAAAACAGTCTCTTTCTGAATCCCTAGTTTATATTGGCCTGCAAGAAAAGCAGTTTGGCAACATCTAAGTTACAAATTAGTCTACAATGTTTTGGCGATTTTCACTAGGTCTACCTACTGCTACACCTACGTCTACGCCATCTGAACATCTTTTCTCACTGTCTAGTATCACTCTAACTGAAAGTCGTTACCGATTAAAGCCAAAAAATCTGTTTAAATGATTTTTGTTTAATCGAAATTAATTTTGAAACGATTTTTATGATATCGATTGTAGAGCTTACGATCCGATATGTGGATCGATTCGGAGGTATGTGATCCATTACGATCCAAAAAATCGATTCGAAGTAAAAAAATCATGCATCCCTAAACGGTATAATTAACTGTGATTACTTACGTATAATCTTGATAAGCTTAATTAAAATTTTGGTAAGCACATACGTATGGGAAGCCATATTGAGTCAAATACTCCAGTTTTCGACTTTTCGGCCATTCATTAATTATGTTGCTGTTCAATGTTAACAGGAAAGGAAACATGCCAAGTCTAAAAATCAAATCAATCTTTACTAACAATAGGTTAACAATTACTTAACAAGTATGTCGAAAATGTTAAAGCTGAACTTCAAGAAATAACGAGAAAGTCAAAATCCTCACAATACTTCAATTTTTTTTTTGGTCACACGAGGCATTATGTCGGACAGCTCTAGAGGCGAGTGCTCGTACCTCATACTAACAAGCTTATTCCAAATTTAAAAATTTGGTAAGGCTAACAGAGTAGAGGGCAAAATAATCGATCTCACAGGATCTTATCCGGACAGCTGTAATTCTAATACATATAACAATCTCACATATGCCAGGTCCGTGTTATTGTATTGCGCAAGCGTGTCAGATACCCAGTGGCCAGTGGTGCAAGCTAGGCGCATTGTGAACGAACAATGGGGAAAGCTGTATCCAGGCAGTCGACGAGTTCTGATGGCCTGAGAAACCGCGAGCAGCGATGTCCTTGAAGTGTCCCTATTTATTATTTAATTTTATTGTATGTTTGCGTAAATACCTGCTTGTACCTACCCACTCTAGGTTTATCTTTCGGATGATAGCTGGTAATCACATGTATATGTATAGATATATATTCAGTATGTATGTACATAGTATGTTTTATAGTGTGTTTAATTTATAAAGTTGTTAAGTTCATTTAGGTATATACCGTTAGCTGCTTTGTGCTCCATTGACTACCCTTTGCCTGCAACTCCTTAATCATTTGTAAGGTTGACTGGAAGAGATCGTTGTCTAGCGATAAGGCTGCCGATTGTACCTTTCACTGCGTCTTTGTATTGTCACTGTTTTATTTTGTGTGTAATAAAGCTTATTCTATTCTATGCATCTATAAATCGCGTACCCATATGTGTTTTTTCGAATACATTTTAAAACAAACTTTTGGGCTTTTCACAGGTACCATGGTCAACAGTGAATTAAGAACTCTATATAAATACTTATTCATTAATGTTCCAAATCTGATTTGAACCTTTACCTTGCTCGTATCTATATCTACATACTACATAATATATGTAGATATATGTGTAAAGTATGGTCTACAAACTACGCTTCATTATAGGATTTGAGCTCAAATCCTTATAAACTAAAATTATTCTATGATTTGCTAATGTGGTATCTGTAGAGATCGCAAATCACTGCACCTTATTGTGATTTCGAGAGCAACTTTATTCTCAACTCTATTCTATAGACTCAAATTACTTTTGTCTAACCTACGCCTTTTATACATTACCAATATCACATATGTTATTTATAGCATAATAATGACGTCATTGTGACACATCACCCTATTGTATTCATAATTGCATAATTAATAAAATATATTCAGTTACCAACCAAGTTTTCAACCAAGACATCCATTATCCCAGGTACAACAGTACCCTTTGACCATTTGACCTTAGGAAAATATATAGTACTTCTCAGGTGGCTCACTTCGTGGCCGCAGCTATCATGGGCATATGTTCTATTTTCTATTATTTAAGTCCTATTGTCATATCCATTAAAGTCCATTTGACAAACGTACATCCGCTTAATGTAAGTGTAATAAGGAAAACATGAATTGAAAATAAAGTAGGTTTTCTAATACCTACCTATTACATTGTACGTACCTACTCTTATAAGTTTCTTGCATTTTGAGAAGAATTGCGTGCTAATTATACAAATGTAGGTACTCATGTGTCTAATGTACCTAACGTTTAGTTTTTTCACGTCTCTATCTAAGGATAGAGACGTGAAAAAACGTTCGTTCGATACTTATATATCGAACGCAAAGAAGAATAAAAATGTACTTATGTACAAATTCAAATTAGAAATTAATATATTCGCTACGAATCAAATTTCCTGTCGCGTTGAAGTCTTTTACATCGAAATAAATTTTACACATTATAAAAGTTTTGTCCACGTAGCTTAGGTATAAGATTAGATTGCAGAAACTCCAATGAAGAAATGATACAATCAATAACTAGGTTTCGTTCGTCTAATGAATTCTATAACTGGGGCAATTGTTTCATTGCGCGTGGGTAGTATAATAGTTTATATATGTATTATAGACGCGACGCAGCGGCATGGCGACACAGGTAGCAATAGCAAGGCAAAAAGTGTCTATGTATTCTATGAGTATACCTAGCTATTTACAGAAAATGCCTAATACGGCGTATGAATTTATTGCAAGACAATATTTAGTGTCAAGGTCTACGAGTTGGTATCATCGTTTTGTACTTACCATGTTATCCGGGCAAATGTCAAATCGATTTGTCTCGAGAACTTCATATGGAAGTACCACATTAAGCATTGGTTTATTAGGGTCGTATTTCAGAACTGTACTCGATGCTCAAGTCAGGATTTGAGCAGGCTTGCGTGTGATTTCATGCTTACACTGGAAATACGACTGGAAGTCCCTGCCATTAGGGTCGTATTTCCAGTGCTTGTGTTTCCATTGCAATCCTGACTTGAGCAGACTTGAGTCTTATTTCAAGCACTGGAAATACGACCCTAATGGCAAGGACTTGAGTATGATTTTCAGTGCTTTAAATCATACTCAGAGCATTGAGTAGAGTTCTGAAATACGACCCTTTAGATTCTATCCGGGCACTTTTCATAAATATAGATAACAGGTAAAAAATATTTGCAGCCCAATTGAGTGTGTCGTTATTGGAAAGCGAAATACAGCCTTAATTTAAAATTTTATCATTCAATAAATTAATCAACTAATTTACTCGTAGCTGTAATTACAATCTGTGCGCTAATTTCACTGAAATTTTTAACAAGGATCTAATTTTTCACCAAGTATAGAAAAAAATTCTAATGATGACCAACAGATGGCAGTGAGGGTGGCGATTGTATTGTGTCACTTTTGTTTGTCAATCACTCTCTCATTCTCTGTCTTATTCGCACAATGACATTTTCAATGAATTTTCATTAATTTTTAATATTTATCATCGCTTTTATAAGTTTCGTGCTGGTTTATAATTACAATTGATCAAATTAAGACCTAAAGATTGCGTGACGAGGCAATAACAGGTTTCAAGGTTTAGTGTTTGTTTTCGACGTTATAATACGCACGGTGCGATCGTGCAAGGTAACCGAAGATGCTCTCATTAATAAGCAAGTTATAAGACAAAAGGCTTTCGTCCTTCACACATTAGCGGAGCATTGTTTAAACAGTCGTTATCACGTAGTGTTAGAGGTGATTATGGAAATAGTAATATTGTTTGCACAGCGCACGTAAGTAAGCTAACGCCCAGATATTTCCTTCGGCTACATACTACTAACTTAGTTTAGCTACTACTACACACGGTGGCGGGTCTTTAGCCTAACGCTTCACTTCAACGCTATAACAATTAGTACAAAAAATACAAAGTCGGGCTTGAATATTGGTCGTTTAGAGTAGAATAACATGTAACATGGCGAACATAAGGAGCAACAAAGCAAAAGCACCCAAAGGTGCTTCCACTAAGAAACCACTTAAAATAAATAAACCATCAAAATGTGTGACCTCTGATAGTAATAATGATATATCAAAGCAGGTAATATTGACAAGAAGTGGACGCATCAGAAAGAAGACAGATGAGCGGCTTAAAGTTCTTGAACCAATCCTAAAAACTGAATTGCTGATTAAGAGGAAGAGAAAAATGAATGATAACATAGTCTCTAATGGTGAGAAGAAAATAAAAAACAACAATAATGACTCTGCTGTTAGTGACCAAAATATTGAGTTTGAAACAGTTGATATTAATAGTATTGAAGTGAGCTACAATGAAAACACGGACATACATAGTCAGGACCCACAACATATGATATCTGATGTGACTGACAAGAGCACAACTGAAAATGTCACTAAACCAAAAAATAAGAAGCAAAGTGATAACAAAAAGCCAAAAGAAAATCTTACTATGGATAAAGAAGTGAGAAAAGATGTAATAAACCAAATGAAAAACGCTTTATCACCCGAGAATGATGAAGAGGAAATCCCAGAAACTAATCCAAAGAAACATCGTAAGATAGCTAAGCAAGATCGGGGAGTAGAAAAAGATACTGAATCAGATGCGCCTGAGGAATACAAAGTTCTTAATAAACCTAAAAAACCAAGGAAAAAACAAGTGACTCTAAGCAATGGCCTTGTACTCACATTGTCAGTGTACAGTTGCCCCTTGTGTGACAAAAACTTTTCCACCAAAACTTCTTTGACTCGGCACAAGGCAACTAACCACCAAGTACAACCGAGTCATAATTGTGAACATTGTAAAAAGAAATTTCGAAATAAAACCACTTTGAAACGCCACTTACTGAAAATTCACTCTGAATTGCGCACACAGCCCGAATATCACTTTTGTGGAATATGTGACAAAGTATTTTTGATGAAAGAAAACTTAGAACTACATTTAGCGAGTCACGTGAAGTCGGAGAAATATAGATGTATTTATTGTTTCAAGACATTTTCATATCAAATGCTATTAGATCAACATGAAAAATCTCATCACTCTGAAGTCGGTAGTGTGTATAAATGTTTCCTGTGTGAAATGGAATTGGGTAATCGATACAAATTACAAATGCATATGAAGATACATACAAAAACAAAGGAATATATTTGCCATCAATGTGGTAAAGGTTTTTTGAGATTTAACTCAATTAAAAGACATGTAATGGTGAGCCATAGTGGTCATAGAATTCAATGTCCCATTTGCTATAAGGAGTTAACTGGGCACTTGGCTGAACATTTGAGGGTACATGAAGATAACCGTCCCTATAAATGTCCTGAATGTGAGATGGCCTTCAAACAGTCCACACAGCTGACTGTACATAGACGATGCCACTCAGGTGCCAGGCCATATACTTGCAGGATCTGTGAGCGTCCATTTAGTCATTCTAATGCACTCATGCTTCATATACGGAGGCATACTGGGGAAAAGCCATTTGCCTGTGCCATGTGTCCAATGACATTTTCTCAACTACCGCATATGAAGACTCATATGTATAAAATACATGGGAAAGATTCAACATATAAATGTGAAAAGTGTAAGCATTTTTTCAAGCGCAAGACACAGTTAGAGGATCATTCTAAGATATGTACTGTAGGGGACAATGACCTTGCTTTCAAAGAGCAGGACCAAACTTCGGTACAAGGTGAAGAAATAGAAGTTGAGTCAGTAATGAGCATCTCCCGCATGAGGTATCTACTAGCTCTGCTCCTCACGATGATTGCGTCGAAAACAAAACTCAAATATTTAGGTGAGAACATTTTATTAATTGTCTACTAAAGTTAAGACACAACACTCGTAATGTACGCACTGTTTTTTATTGAGTGTAGCATACATTGCTTCCTGTGTGTGCGCCAATAACAGGAATCCATAAAAGTACTTCATTAATCACATTTCTTTAAAACATTAGTGTTTTCAGAGACATGTTAAATCCACAATTTTTATCCTATACATTAGACATCAACGAGTTTGCTATATCCCTGTATTCTACACATATTCTCGTACATATCTCAGTATTGCGGAGGTATTAAAATTCCCTCCTTCCACTTGTATACCGCGCTACCTTAAAATCGGGTTAAATACATAATGAGATAACAGCCAGGCAGTCCACATCCGATGAGCGCACATGTTACTCATATGATAACATACTCGTAATTATTCTCAGAAATTAGTAGTTGCTAGATAACTTGTTTTTAATAAACGTCTAGAGGAACTTGCTTAGATAAAAATAAACGCGTTTCCTTGTATTAATATAATATGACAAATGACAATTGATTTTGCGTTTTTCCTCGTAAATGACTTCAACGTGTTTACTTAAAAGCAAATTAATTCATAATTTTCTTTTACTTCACAGAATTTCGGCCTCTACAATAGAATCTTTAAAAATTCTTTTCGATATTTGTATTTTTCTTGTGTTAGACATCAACGAGAACATTATAATGATAAAATAGTATCCATATATAACTAAACCCAACGCTCATTTCAATTTTGGTCACAATAACAATGAAAGTAACAAAATGCACAGTCATTTCAAATACACGTGTCCCCTCATTATCTACTTTAAAAACACATTACGACACTCCCATTCCTGTGATCATAATGTTCACTACCCTTCAAATAGAAAATGTCCTATCTACACTGTGATGGTTGTAAGATTTTGAACCAACTGTTACACAACGACAGAGTTCAATTTGGAGAGTTGAAGTGTATTTGTGTGCTTATTGTTGAAGTGTATCAAAGCACGTTATCCATAGCATAGCTTATTCATCAAGGTTTTTATTTTAGCAACATTCTTGTGATTGTGTAAGGAGACATCGACGACGAGTTTGGTAATTTTGTGAGTTCATACCCATTTTGTTGTTAATGTTTTCGGTGTCGGTTGGTGATGGGATGAACTTGGGATTGAGGGTGAAAGAATACATATTACATACATAAATATTAGGATAATAATGGACGAGGATTTTAAGGTGGAGGTCAAAAGATTCAAAGGCTTTCGCAGTACGAACTGGGTGTGTAGGGCGTGCAAGCTCAACGTAGCTTGGTTAATTCTATAAATTATTCACATTCGAACGAGCGCTTCCCTCTTAATTGATTTTGTGTATCAAGTTAATTGGTTATAGCTATCACAACCTCTGAAAATATAATTAAAGATTAACTCTCACGCCAAATGCACCCGTACTATTCAGCGGACGCCCTAAGAGTGGTTACACACGGCGACTTTTAGCAGCGATGCAAACGCGCGTTCGTGAAACGCGATTGCATCGCTACACTTTCGGTTTACAGGCGATTGCATCGATGCAAACGCGCGACTGCATCGATAAAAACGGGCCCTTGCTTCGATCCAATCGCCTATAAATTCCAAGTGTAGCGATGCAATCGCGCATTTGTATCGCTGCTTAAAATCGCGCGTGTGTGACTGTTCTAAATGTCACTTATCTTACTATAAGACTGCTTCAAGGTAATTTTGTTATCAATTTGTTCTGATGCTATGTGTACAACTCTGTCCTCAAGCAATACAGAGACATTTCTATCTATGCCATGTAAACTTCCCTGTATACATAATTCAACTGTAAATATAACACACGTGTAAAATATCTAGTAAAATTTAAAGTTTGAACACATTTTCGTTGACAATTTTAATTGTGTTTACGCAACATTGTTTGTATGGTCAGTTTACAATTTCATTTATATAACATGATTGTATGATTACCATCGATTTAGTATATACCTATACTAAATCTATGAAGATTGCTAAGAATTGTCAACGACATATCAAACTAAACAGTGTTCAAACTCAAATTTCTACAAGTTGCTGTTTTCTATAAGTTTCTGCGAGTTGATTTATTGTATATTTTCATTAATTATAAATTAATAAATATTACAGGTTTCAACAAGCGCCTCATAGATGATCTTTTGGAGGAATCTTTAACAGCAATGGGTTATACACCATGTAAAGACAAATCCTTGACTTCTTTTGTACGCCTCCGGAACAACATCGAGATGTTGCTTGACGGCACAGTACCAAAACATCAGCTGACAAAGTTTAGGGGCGAGAATAAAACTACAGAAGACATGCTCTTCTTATTGACTGACGAAAAGAAGGATAAAGAGTAAGAATAGTTTTTAATCGAGTCAGCTAACCACGCGAAAGACAGTCCAGTGCCATTAATGTTCGGTCTTTCCAGCTCAGTATTGCCGTTTAAACCCACAAACTCTGACAGATAATTATTCATAACAGTGATAAGCAGGCAACACCGTCATATTTGACAGATAATCACTAATTGCCAAGTTAATAGTGCAAACGAGAAGCTACGGAAAGACCGGACATCAACGCGGCTGTCTTTCTCTTAAGCGGTTAGTCGCTTTAGACGTTGAGTGTGACTTGCTGCTCTAATTTTGGGTTTTGACAGTAATTTACATGTTGTCAATAGGAAGAATTAGTACTTTACGATTCTGCAATACTGCAAAGGTCAAATCCATTATCTCAACTTTTGTAAAAAAGTTTTTGAAGAATTTTTTTAACGTTTAATATTTATATTATGTGTGCGTATTTATTTTATGAAGTAAGCATTGCAATAATTGTAGTTTGACAAGCTAACACAACACTTGAATAAGAAGATTTAAAGAAAGTTACATTCTTTAACAATTTAACTATTTTAATGGTCTGCTAACAGACCTTTTTATTGTCAGTGCGTTTGATTGTAACAACAGCAATGTCCAAAGTGTTGTTATGAATGTCAATATAAACATCGATGGATTTCTAGAATAGTATCTCATCTCGAAAGCACTTCTTCTTTAAAATGATATAACTTCATCGATGATTCCGCCAATGTCAAGTTAAGGAACACACGCGTTTTTTACTCAAAATTTGACCGGTGAGTTGCGACAGAACTCACTGGCAGGCGAATCTACAACAACAGAGAACTTACACAGACTATTACAGAACTATTTTTTTTTAAAATAAATTTACACAGGAGAAGGGTCTAACGTGAGGAAGCACTCGAAGCACTTAATTCATCAGGAAAGATATTTAAAAAAAGTAAATGTTTTTTATACACAAATTCGTCGAATCGTGTTCCTGCGCAATGTTGTCATGTCATTATTTAATCAATAAAAAGCTCAGTGTCTTAGTCAAAATAACATTTAACACATTCTGAATACAGTAGGTAGTGGAATAAAATAAGTGAAAAAAAATAACAAATTTGATTTGGGCCAGTATTCTAGAAAAGCAACGATATTTTTTGGTGAAATTACAGACATATGGGATTTGTCAATTTATGTCACAGGGTGACGGGCGCAATAGCAGTGCCCCTCAGATCTGATGATGCGATTTAGCTCTATAGCGGAACTACAGTTGTTATGGACAGACGTGTCGCATACTACATATATAAAAAAATGGTTAGTGATAATCTTTTATTGTAAACTGATAAAAACAATTTTAATTACTTACTGCTATTTTAAATTTAATACACTCTAATTGACTCTCTGTGTTAACTTGTCAAAACGTTAATTATTTATTACTCCATTTTTTTAAGAAATATTTTCACTTTTTGCAATAATATCCCATTTTATTATTTATTTTAAATTTTCTAAAATTTAAGAAATCACTATTTTGTGTAGAAATAAATTATAGATAGAATTAAGGACGCAATAATATTATTTTAGATTCACGATAAGAATATTTGATTTATCAAGCGAAATCATAAATTTTTAAGGATACCTGGCGTAAAAGTTGGTGTAGATTTGGTTGTACACTTTTGTGAATGCAAACTGGTTCACTAAGTTTGAAAATAGTATGATATATTCTGGAATCCAGATTTCAACTAGCCAGCACTAACACAGGCAAAGAAAGGACTTATGTAGATCAAATGTCGTTTCGCTCATATGGCAAACTTACACCAGATCTACTCTTTGTTGTTTTACGTACAAAAGCATGTCTCAAGCTTGACATATAAGATTTAAATTCAACGCTATATCGCTTCCGATAAGAATGGCCGAAAGCATAGTTTCCCAAAGTGGTCCCTACCGCCCCCAGTGGGCGCTGAAGAATCCTAGGGACCTCGGAAGTCATTGGGGGAGTTGAAGCTGCCCAGGTGGTGCTACCGTATTTAAAAGAAAAACTGAATTATCTTTGAAAACTGCACTACAAATATATAATTTTGTTCCTTGTATTAAGTTGATATAAAATACACGTGTTTTCAATCATTTTTTTTGGTGGTGGGCGTTGAAATTTTTTTATCTTGCCTAAGTGGGCGTTGAGTCAAAAAGTTTGGGAAGCTACGGTCTAAAGTGTCAAGCACGATGGATGTCTTCTTGACTTTGTTATTAGTCTTTATATTTCAACTAGAAGTCACGGGGCCTTACTCAGAAGAAGTAGGCAGCGTTTTCAAAAAATACCACTGACATTGAGCGAAAAGCTCAAACAAATAATGAAAATAACATTGTTTTAATTTATTTAGTTAAGAAAATAGTGCATAGCAAATTGACAATATTGCGTAACTAGACGTTTGTGTAGTGACTATTTTATCCAATTAATGAATGTGATTTGCCATACAAAAACCAAGTGATTATTCCAAAGAAAAGGGCCACATATTATGATAGTGTTGCTGTAAGGTGAAAATTTCATTGGAGAATATTGTAGTTTCTAAATAATTTTATACTGTGTATGTGTAGTGATTAAGTTTTATTTATCATTCCGTTGAAGAATGATTGTGCCATTTGTTTGAGGTTTTTTAGAATGCATGTATTTTATATTAATCATGTAACGAAACGTGTATTTAAAACAAAAATGTGAATTTTTTATTTGTGACCAAAAAGCGAAAATTGGGGATTGGTGCCTTGTCTATTAAATTGTAAGTTTTTAATTGTAATTTATATATTTTTCACTTACTAACTTTTGTTGGATAAAAATTCGAATTTAAAATACTTTTTAAAATTTTAATTTGTTATTTCATTATTATCCTCCAGTGCCATTAATTATGTTACTTTAAATTGTTTTTATTTAGCGACTACATAATAATCTAATAATTTTATTGTAAAATTTGCAATTAAGTTCATATTGGTATTTATTTACCTAATAAGAAAATATTATGGTGTATTGAAAAATAGATAACTATGTATAAGTTTACCTATAATAGTAGTATTATAAGTACACTATATTGTGCACAGTATCATTCACCACCTCCAAAGGTCTCACTTCATAGAATGCTGCAGTTTGTTTTGGTCCCAGGTTTCATTTCATGGGAAGAATATAATTTCATTTTGAACGCGAAGTGCGTACGTTATCATTGAGTGTAACAATATAAATAAAGTCGCCAGTAATAAAGTTAGACACCGAATAGAATGGCCATCAAAGTTGAAAATAATATGATAATTAAACTAGCAAGCACAAAGGGTTTTTTCAATGCGCCGAATAAAGTTTACGTACAGGCATTGACCTACCAATAAACATTTTTATTAAAATTGTGAAAAAGATTTTTAACAATTCGAATTTGTTTGTATTGTCCGTGAGCATTCCGTGAGAGTATTATTAAAAGAGGAAAAACAATTGGTTTTATTTACAGCATAAACAAGTTTTTTTTATATTTAAACGCAATAAAATTGTGCCCTTTAAATGACTTCAGAGGATAATTGTTTTTTGTATCATAATAAGGTCAATCATATTACATTTACTATATTTTACATTTGCTCGTAAGTACCACAATATTTATGTAGAAACCATTTAAAAACTGAATATGCAAAAATTTTAAAATAGGTGGACAGCATTTTTTTTCATTATCTTTGTTTGCTTGTTTTATTTGACACCAAAGAAAACAACCTGTTATTTTTTGTGAAACGGCCAGTTTTAGAAGTGAGAATTATGATAAATTTTTGTAAAAATGTAAAAGGATACAGTTTCGGAGTACCAAAGAGAACATAGATATGATATAGCAATAAAGTATCACGTGAAAGAAATAACCTTGTTTTTTTATTTAGGAAATATGGTTGAACTTAGAACACACTCATAGCTCCGCACTAGGTAAACCCTGTGTCGCGGGTGCCATGGACACACGCATAGGTAGACAACCACAAATTACACCCAAACTCACGAGAGAAATAAATGTAGGTCATACTAATATTTTTCTCGGCCTGGAAATCGAACCCGGGACCTCAACCTTTCCGCCACTGAGGCAGTTTAACATACGACTCCTTCGTTCTGGATCATTGGAAAGATAAATCTAGTACTTTCGTTTGTGTCAAAAGGAACCACCACAGTAATCTGTGACGTAGTAAAATAGTCTTTCTATGTGTAACAAAGCAATCACAGTAAAGAAATAATGCTTAGCATTCATGTAATAACATAAAAGTTATTGAAAGGGACAATTTTTTGGATGTTATCTGAAAACGACCCGTCCATTTAGGAAAGGATAACTAGAAACTAGAGATGAAACGGATCCGGCCGGATACTGGATGTTTAAAACTGAGAAAAATTCACAATCAGTACGCCAAATAAATTTATTTATTGATTAAATATGATAGTAATAGGATAAATAGTAGCTACAGGATCGTTAACAATATGTTTATTACTTGCCACGGAAAGAACTATGAAGTTAGATATATAGTCAAATTTCAATAAATGCAAATTATGGTGGATGAAGACCAGTTTTTCTGCATTAAGTGGTAATAGTTGGTCCTATTTATTTTCATAAACGAGACCAGCTTCAGAGGACAGTTTTTACTATAAAGTCTTGCAAACTTTGTAAAATTTTAAGTACTATTGTTATTGCCAGACGACCAAATGAAAGGATCGCGATCACGGTCGATTTGAACTGTATTCAAATACAATAGTTACCTACAATAATGAAACGTGTAAGTAGATTAAATATTTTGGCATATCTTGTATCAAGGATTAGAATTAGTTAGATCACAAACAAATTAATGAAATTAAATTGAAAGAAAATAATAATAATAATAAATAAAAGTGCTAGGCCTATAACAAATAGAAATGTTAATATAGCCTAAGAGTGATGATTTCTTTTCCACCGCGAGAAATTTGTATTCGGTACAACAAACGAACAGCACTAATATTAAAATATTGCCAAATTTCTGGTTTTTTTTCACTGTTGACATTTTTCTGTTATGTATTTGTTTGTATTATGGAATAAATTAATCGTTTTAATAAAAATCAAGTGACCACAATATATATAGAATCGTCAATGTTTAAGTGCAATCCTTCACTAATCAATCAGTCACGACGATGCGCACTGTAAACCGGTCGCGACATGTTTACAGCAATGGGTCAGATATTCGGCTATCCGGCCTAGGCGCACGCCGGATACCCGGTATCCGGCCAATGCACTATCCGGTCCATCTCTAGTGAAAACGTTACATGTTCAACGTTTAAGTATACACGCATTCAGTAAAGCACTCTGTGCAGTATATCTTTCTAATTTCTGAAGTACACCACGTTTGTTAAACGTTTATTATACTACTCGATTTCAAGGGCCCTGCGTCAAGGGTGGCCGTGGCCCTATTTAGGGCGCCGCTCTTAAAATATAAGTCGCCCAAATAAGTCTCCCTAACCCTTAATACTCTTCCCTTTGTGTTAGTTAGGGTCCCTTGAAATCGGGTAGTGTATTAACTGAATAAGCGTTTGAGTCGTGTGCCATGTTTGTGTATATTTGTTGCAAAAAATAACGGTGTAGGTAAGAAACATAAAGCAGTAGTGTCACTGGTTTATCTTACACTAATAATTCGGACGATGATCAAAATATTATTTATTTATATCTAAAATGAATGAAGTTAATCAATCAAACACTTGTGTGTTGCTTTCTTCTTATGAAAAAGAAACGAAACTCCCAATTAAACGGTAGTCGACCGCACATCATGCTATGCACTTTTGTTCGAATATCGCCTCAATAGCAATGGTACTAGACCCGTCAATGTGTAAGCTTGGTGCGTAAAATTTCAAATACGTAACAGACATTTTTCCGGATTCGCTCTGGACCTTTTGGAGGGAAAAGTGTCGTTTTTATTTTGACTTTCAATTATTTTGTGAAATCTAGTTTAAAGTGGAATAGGATAGTGCTATTGTGCCTTAATCGAAGATTAAAACGTGAAATTATACGAATCTCGAACTAAAATACCCATATCGGCCCGTTTTAAGGAATCCCGAGTCAATCCAAACACGCCGCCTCAATTTGCCTATCCTCTTTGTGGCGGCCATATTTACAGAAACATAATCTACATTCTGCTAAGCGGAAAACTCGACACTGGCAAAATCTTAAAAAGAAGGAACCGCCATTAAGCAAAACGAAGAAGAAGAAGACATTTTTCCGGAAAATACCCCAAAACCTGGAAAAATATCATTTCGAAAGGGCTTATTATATTATGTTCTACGTTTACAAATATCTTTTGAAGTTAGCGTGAATTATAAAATAAACTTAAAAATCCACCCAAAGAAAAAAGAGATTTCTATTGATTTCGCTACAACGAAAATAAACCCTTTTTTTATTGTTTTTTTTCAAGAGTTTTAGCTTGGATACAAGTTCTTGGAGCCATGTCTTCATTTTCACATGTTTTCACTTTCTCTTATATAACTTAGCTCTCTCGTATAGGATTTTAAGATAATCTTTTAAGCGGCGGGAGTCAATATTTATGTTTTCACTTTCACTTAAATCCCATTATTTTTCAGGATAAACTCTTTTGTAATTTGGTTTAAAATAAGGAATATAATTCTAACTTCTTCATTACTATTTCTTTCTTCGTATTTTCTTCATAATATATATAAAATAAAATTAATCGAAACTAAACAGTACTTGAAACTTCAAAAGCCCGCCGGTTTTTTTCCTTTTTTATTGGCGCCATCATTTCGTTCAGTAACTTCAACTTTTGACAGTTGTTAACGACGAATGTGGAAAATTCTATTTCAATCTTAGACTATTTTTTTCCATCCTTGCTGCCCATCACTAGTTGTGCGTTATTCACGCTTGGCAACAAACACCGCCGTCCGTCAATGAAATGTCAAAGTTGACAGATTCGCTTCTGGACCTTTTGGATAGACATGGGGAATAGCGTTACATTTCTATCGCCGTGACTGTCGTTCCGGTTCCAAAAAAATCACAGTGATTTTGTCACGACTGTTACTTCCGTGACCTTGTCACGCCTATAAGTTACATCACGATATACGGTTTTAGCCAGCGGCTTCTTTCTAATACTTATAGCCGTTTTTTATACCTAGAATGATTTAAGTTTTTGCTCCCTTTGTAATAAGTTCCAATTCCATTCAAAAAGTTGATTTTGTATTTAATGTAATTTTGTTAATTAATAAATTTTAATGTAGTTTGTATTTAATGTAACTGCCTCCGTGGCCGAACGGTTACCATGCCGGACTGCCACGCAGAGGTCCCAGGTTCGATTCCCGGGCCGGGAGAAATATTTGTATGGCCTACAATTATTTCTCTCGTGAGTTTGGGTGTAATTTGTGGTTGTCTATATGTGTGTCCATGGCACCCGCGACACAGGGTTTCCCTAGTGCGGGGCTATGTTGAGTGTGTGCGTTATGTTGAGTGTGTGCGTTTTTACTTATTTAATGCGAATCTTTGGATTATTAAAAATAGCAAATAATGTAATGTAATTATATTTCTAGTAGAATATACAAAGTAGATTATACATAAATATAAAATACCAACTCTTCCTATAATAAAACAAATATACAAAAATGTTTTACTTTGTACATAAATAGGTTTATAATAACTGCCGCAGATTTTTTTCATCCGCCCTTTCTAGTAGTAATAAGCATCTACGACCCTTGTGAGTGAGCAAAGAAAGTGATCCTATTTCATACACTCCCATCGCCGAAATGGCCCGATTTGAAGAGAACTACAACGAGTGGTGCACTCAGTGATCAGTCACCACGGAACGGAGATCGCGCATTGTATCAAATACCTATGTCGTGATGTGAGTGACGGGGATAGCTATTGGAACTGAGGAATACCTATGTGACTTTGGAACGTCGTTCCTTCGGAATGAGTCACGGTCACTCACGGTGACACTGTTTGACGGCGGATCATCGTAATTTTTTCATCGTGACGTTATTTATCACCCACCTCTACTTTTGGAGGGAAAAGTGTCGTTTTTATTTTGACTTTCAATTATTTTGTGAAATCTAGTTTAAAGTGGAATAGGATAGTGCTATTGTGCCTTAATCGAAGATTAAAACGCGAAATTATACGAATCTCGAACTAAAATATCCGTATCGGCTCGTTCTAAGGAATCCCGAGTCAATCCAAGCACGCCGCCTCAAATTGTCTATCCTCTTTGTGGCGGCCATATTTACAGAAATATAATTCAACTTCATGTACCTACCAAAAAAGAATAATGTACCAAGACTTGGCTGTATGGTGTAAAACCCTTGCCTTTTCCTTTATGGAAAAAAAAAAATCAAAGTTGACAAATAACATGTGGGAAAAGACGTGTTGTGATTTTTTTCCATCTTCTAAGGGGTTGTGGTGATTGATTTGATTTTTCGAGCAATTTCAAATTTATGTAGAAAAATACATTTTCAGACATGGGGACGACAGGCCAATCTATTACTTTAGCCAATAGTATAATAGGAGTGGGAGTTCTAGCTATGCCCTTTTGTTTCCAACAGGTAAGATGTGAAAATATATTTTGTATACGTTGCCTAAACTTATCTTGATAAACAATGAGAAAGATCTCATATGATGTCACTTACAAGAATATTTTTATATAGATTTGCTTTATCTAGCTCATATTATTATTTAATATTGCTATTTTTTGTTTACCATTTTTGTATCAGGAATTTGGTTGGCATATATATTGAATCGTTCTCAAAACATCGACGTATGCAACTCTTCTTATTTCAGTAACAATAAGTGTTGTGTTTATTTAACCAGTATGCTTAGTTTTGATTTTCTCTTAGTTTCTGTTTAAACTTTTGCTTAAGACGGAAGAGATAAAGCTGCTAACAGATGGATTGCAAGTCTGCAGTTAATGCATGCAGTCATGACTTCGACTGCATGCAGTGAAGACTTCAACTGCAAGCGTCAGCTGCAGTTGATGTAAACAATAGTCCAAGAATCAAAAGCAGCAAATGACATTCTTAAGAGAATATATGATTTGTTATGTATCTGAATCAACTTAATTTTTTTAGAAACAGCATGAGGCAGCAATTACTTAAGAGTTTAATCGACATGATGGTTAATGATAAACATAATTTTCTCAATAAATTTGTTTCACATTTGCACAATCCATAAAATATTTTTTTTACAATGGCACCTTTGTTTACATTTTCGATCTCAAATTTCAGCACTGAGTATAGTTGGAAATTACTGATATGCGTTAGTTAACAAATTAAAATGGAGGATTTCAATAGTGACATGTTCATTACCTTAATAAAGTCACCATTTGGGATCATAAATATTCTGACAAGCTACTAGTAAAATCTGTGCTTAATTTCGAGATCAAGTAATACGCTGAGTTTCTGAGCTAGGATCAAGGTGATAACTGTTTGTAGGCAGTGTCATCTGCAGTTGGTTTCAATTGCATGCAGTATGTTTTGACTTCATTCAGTTGTATATACCGACTTCGCACTTGCAGCCCATTTGATAGCAGCCTAAAATGCTTTAACTTAAGATTAATTCGAAATGACTGTCCTTTAGAAGAACATCACACACAGAACAGAATATATCTTCTGTGGAAATGAAACTACTTTTTCCGGATTTAAATCGTGCATATTTGCTTTTTCAAACAAAGCTACATTTCGGGCCCTTTACAGGTCCCATGGTCACGGTTGACTGAGGTGGTACAATCATCAACCAGTTATGTCTAATATTAATGCAAACCACCTTGTTTTTCACCAGATTTAAATCGCATGATTTAAATCTGGAAAAATAGTTTAATTTCCTATGTGTAACAATCGCGAAAACCTTTTAGTGTACATGACATTACAGTGTACATGACATTTAATAAAATTGGTTATCAATTTACATTATCAGGAGTATAATTTTTAATGTGTGTAGGTATTTCTTTAGAAAAACATTGGAAATATATTACTTTTTATAACTATTTAAACAATTATAACAATGAAATTGATTTATTAATATTATTATTTATGATATTAAATACATTATATGTAATTATTTGTTTCTCCTTTAGTGCGGGGTGCTATTAGCTACTCTTATCCTTGTCTTCATGGGCCTGGTGTCTAGATTGTGTTGCTATTTCTTGTTGAAATCTGCACTTATATCAAGAAGAAGAAATTTTGAGTTTCTGGGTAAGTAATGTAATATGAATGAAAAGGAATTATTTGAAAAGTCATGGTTATTTTACAGTCACAAAAAATATTAATTTAGTGAAGAAAAATGTGTTTTCATTAATTTGTTGTTGATAGTAAGTGTGATTTTATATTTTGCTTTATTTCCAAATCTGAAATATTCTAGATAAGTTGGGAACTGATTGGATTTTTTTAAAGCATTCACACACTTGATGCTGAAGCATACTAATGACAAGTCATATTAAATAGTGTTAATAATAATAATAATAATAATAATAATAATAATAGTTTAAAATAAATACGATAATAATAATAATACCGCCTCTCCCATTTAAAAATTCAAAATTAATTTTTTAGGCCTTGGGAGAGGCGAGAGTTGAAAATAAATACGATAATAATAAGAGCTTGACTGTATTTGTCAACACATATTAGCTCCACTTTCATGTTAAACATGACAAGTGTTTTATCCATATAAATAATACTACAAAGTATCATCAGCATTCAATATGAGCAAACATATGCATTGATACTAACAGTGTGTTTAATATATGAATACTTGATGCTGACATATCAGCATTTTTATGTAGACCATATAAAACACAAATCTACTATGAAAGGACGTGGTGCTGATGTGCGCCGACCTTTAACGTATGTATTTCTTTTAAAGTATAGGTGGTAATATGTGATAGTCATGGTATAATTGGATGTAGTTAAACAAAAAGGATCCAATGCACATCCAGGCACTTTCGAGATATCACAGTTTGAAGTTTAAAAGTGTTTCTCACAGAAATGACTTTTAGTTTTATTTTCAAAACTTATAATGTCATGTAACTCCAGAGATATTTATTTCTGCTTATATGTTGAATTTTTTTACTGATCTAAGAGGTTAGACTTTAGTAACCGTTTGGTACAAATAGCTCATTTTTTGATAATTTTGTGGATTGGATCGTTTTTTCTTTAATTACGTCCAATAATAGTCATACATTTGAATGATAGAGACCAAAAAAGCAATATAAATAAATTGATGAGTGGATCTTAAAAAATTGTTCTTTAGCATTTCATGTATTTGGTCCGGCTGGCAAGTTAGCAGTGGAGGTTGGCATAATCGGTTTTTTAATGGGCACTTGCATCGCATATTTCGTTGTCGTCGGCGATCTCGGGCCACAGATCATTGCAAAGATGTTTAATATTAATCAGAGTGATATTTTGAGGTAAGTTGTTTTGAATTCTATACTATTCAAGACCAGACCTTTTTTTTTATAATATCAAGTGACGAGACGAACAAGTTGTGCTTGATGGTGGGCTACACGCCTGTCCATAACAGGTGCACTGCCACTCAGAGCTTTAAATCGCCAAGATCTGAGGGGCACTGCCACTGCTCCCGTCACCCTGAGACATAAGTTGACAAGTCCCATGTGCCTGTAATTTTACCAGCACCCTTACCCTTCAAAACCGGAACGCCCCGGTTTTGAAGTGTAAGGGTGCTGGTGTTGTTGTTTGAAGTGTAAGGGTGCTGGTGCAGTAATGTTCGCATTACTGCGTAGTAATGCTAACATTACTGCTTGGCGGCAGAAATAGGTAAGGTGGCAGTACTTTCCTGGACGAACTCTTTTACAAAGAGCTCTACTGTTACTAAATCTACCGACCACGAGCATAAGTCAAAAGCGAATGGGGGCAACTATTGGTGAACAAAACACTACAGTCAGCCATATCTTATTAAGTGCTCTTTTCTCGTCCAAAGATTTCGATCATTTGTCTAAAGATATTACAAAGATATCTGCCCTCCTTGTCCTTGTACCACTAACGAATTTGCATTTCAGTAAGTTTCGAGACATTAGCACCTAAAGTTTTTTTGCTAATAAAAATATCAATTACGCTCATTTTGCTTAACTATAAAACTAAATAAGATATTTATATGTAGCTGGTAAACTAAAATGGGACTGGGCGGGTCACGTCTGCCGCATGCCAGATGAGTCGTGGGCGAAGGCCACCACAGAGTGGATCCCCAAAAATAGAAAACGACCATGCGGCAGGCCAAAGCCTCGATGGAGAGATGAGCTAGATGCGCACCTAAATGACTGGACCTCAGTGGCGCAAAACAGAGAGGTGTGGAGAGAGGGGAGAGAGGGCTTTGCTCAGCAGTGAGACAGTATAAGCTCATAATAAATAATAATAATAAATAAAAAAAACTGATTAGAGGGGGTTGTAGATCTACTTTCGCTGATCCCAAATATGTTAATGACTCAATTTCGGAAAAATGTCGATTACGTTAGTTATTAGGAGGGCAGATATATTCCCTAGTACTTGCGCTGCCTTCTGGTGTCGGCGACTGTATATCGTTCATGGCCAAATATTTCTTTTTGTGCCTCCTTCTACCTCCCCGACATTTATTATTCGGGGTCCTTGAATATTGTATTATGACCAAACATAACTTGGTAGGCCGTTTTCACACCTCGCAGCAGATAATAAAAATCGCCCTTTTTTTTACATATAGTATAATAGGTGTTTTTTTACTGGGACAGCACCTGAAACCAAATACAGGGAAACTATCTTTGTTACCATTAGATTTTTTGTATGGAAATAATTTTGGTATAGTATAATTTTCAGGCAAGATTTTTCCATGAAAATGGATGAAGTTAACAAAAATCTTTGTTGTCAAATTATTAGTTAGTTAGTATAGTATTTCATAAACTCGGAAGAAAACCGAATCTGGACAGCAGAAATTTGGGTAAATTTAACAACATTTAGATAGCATTCAATTATTATGTATTGTTGAGTCGAAGTAGCTTATGTACTCCAAGAGCAGATTTTCGTGTAAAATTTTTTCATACATTGTTATTTATAAACAATTACATAATACAATTAGATATTTATAGGTTTGATTTATTGTTGATGTGTTATTCTTAAACTTTGAATCTTGCTGATTTGTTATGTGTAATCGATTTTTTCAGTTCATTGATGTCGATTACGATATGCTGAAATAGAATACAATTATAGATTTATTTTTATTATGGTACCCACAGAAATCGCCAAGAAAAGTCACCTGTCTATACATTTGAGTCAAACATTTAGCATACTACATATGCCATAGAATAAATGGCTTTTTTTAGCGATTTCATACTTACTTATATAAGCGCGCACGGATGACTTTTACGCTATAGTGAGGAAACGGTGCGCCTCCGCGCTCACCCGTCTCCTCGCCAGCACCAGCCGACTCTTGAGGGTGTTCACTGATCGGTGGGTCTCCCCAATACTACGTCACTGTGAAGCTGCATGCTTCACCTTTAACGTTGCGGAATTCTCAGCGATAACACGATGTTTTACTACCAGTATATGTATAAAATACTAACATGTACATACAAGTTTTTTGTATTGATGAATAAACGAGGTCAGCCTATATATAAAGTCAATTAAAAGTTTTGAAACATTTTCAGAACATCAATAATGGTGATTGTGTCTCTGGTCTGCGTGCTACCACTGGGCCTTCTACGTAATGTGGATAGTTTAAGCAATGTCAGTGCAGCCACTATTGGATTCTACTTCTGCTTAGTTATAAAGGTACCAGTATCTTACACGAACACCTTTTTTCTTTCTGCACAAAAGAAAATGCATTATGCATACCCCCCATTACAATGTGCCATATAAATAGACGGTTCCTTATTTTTATACAAAATGTGCCCAACATTCTGACGTTCTTAAAATTGCATTATTGTGTCATTCGAGGCATAGCCACAGACCAGTAGTGGTTCTTTTTAAATAACACTACAATTTCAATGACATGCCAGGGTTATGTGGGACTCTCTTCCGTGGACCCACCCGGCGATAGAAGCCGCCCGATGGATCCTCGGAGGCCTACCCCCTAAAAACCTCTGTAAGCACTCTCCAAGAATTTTGCCATGTCATATGTACCATTTTGGACCACCTTATGTGGAAGAATCTTCAATTCAATATTTAAGTGCCAAATTTTAACTTTAGCACACTTACTGCGGAGTAAATAGACAAGGTTCGACACGTCAGAATATTGATTCTAGACACTAAACCAGGGGTTCCCAAACTTATTTTTTCTACTGCCCACTTTGAGAATAAATTATTTTTTAGCGCCCCCATTTTTTCACCTACTTAAAAACCACTATAACTTTAAATTAAATTAATTATTGTGAGCTATATTAGCGGAGATTAAACATTCATTCTAAACGAAACTTTACTATAATCCGCAACGAAAGTTAACTTGAGACCTGATCGCAGTAGGTAGTACACAACGGCGCTCAGGTCTCAAGTTAACTCTTACAGACTACGCCTGTCAATGAGAATGATTATTGAAACGCAACTTTATAGTATTCAGACAGAGTATCTTTTATTCAAAATAAAACAAACAAAATCGATTCTAATATAAAAACTAATGTGAAGGATGAATCTGATGCTGTTTAATAAGTTTGTTGATATCAGGTTCCAATTTACTCAAGAACAGCCGCAAGTCACCGCGTTCGGTAACATGCAAACGATTTGTCTTTTTAGTAAGCAGCGTTGTCACAGCACTAAAACCACGTTCACACAAATATGACGATGGGAATGCTATCAAGAATCGTTGAACGATTGACGACAATCCAGGGTACAATTGCGGGATCGGTTTTTGTAGCCAAAATTCTTGGTAGCCATTTTTGAACTTGATTTCTATTTCCTCGTTCGTTGTCAATTCTATAAGTTCTTTTTCCAGCTGAGGTGATATTGCTGTGTTGATATTTGAAAACGGATCCAACACCCAGCCTGGTATTTTCAAGTTCAAAATGTCCTGGTGTCGTTCGGTGACGTCAATGTGGAGGTTTTCCAAATGTTGGCAGTAGGCAAACAAGTCGTCGTCACTGCAGGATACTGATAAATTCTGAAAATTGTGAAACTCACGTCTGCCCATATTCTTTTTGTGTAGAAGCAGTTTGCCCAGGGAGCGCTAGAAGCGTAAAGCTGAAACGCCTATAATTGTTGTAATTATTAATACAAAGATCGAATATTTAGAAAAAATTCCTTCGATCCGGCCGGATTCGAACCGACGTCTTCTAGCAAACCGTGCCAGACGCTATGCCAACTAAGGAACACGGAACGAACCAGCGGACCTCACGAATTTTCCTATGTGCTTGTTGTCGTATCTTTGTATTTGGTTTTTCAACGACTTTAGCCGTAGCGCCATCTGTGAGAAATCTACGAAAGTATTTCGTCGCCCAGTTAGATACCTTTACAGCTACCAGCCCCGGCTAGAGATGTCGCTATTCATTGAATTTATTTTTTTATTAAATTGATATACAATTATACGTTCGATCTGTGTTTTAATAATTATAACAAACTAGTGGAGTAATTTCACAAAAAAAATAATTTAATATCAATTCAATAAAAATTTAAACGCCTGTAATTTAAAAAGAAATTTTTTAGCTTCGCACTAGCGAAAACCTGCATTACGAGTGCTATGGACAAATAGATTTAGGGTCGTATTCCAGAACTCTACTCAATGCTCAAGTCAGGATTTGAGCAGATTTGAGTATGATTTCAAGCACTGTAAATACGACCCTAATGGCAAGGACTTGAGTATGATTTTCAGTGCTCACTGCAATACTCAAGTCCAGACTTCAGTATTGAGTAGAGTTCTGGAATACGACCCATAGACAATCACAAATTACACTCAAACTCACGAGAGAAATAAAAGTAGGCCATGCAAACATTTCTCTCCGTGACAGTCCAGGATATTTATTAACCATTCAGCCACGGAGGCAGTAATGATAATTAGTAATGCTTAATGTTGCAGGTAATACAAGAAGCAGCGTCCCAATTGTGGTCAGGCGACTGGTATACAAGAGTGGAAATGTGGCGCCCAGCAGGCTTGCTTCAATGCGTACCTATATTTTCCATGGCACTATTCTGTCAAACGTAAGTACAACGATACGAACAAAGCATGTTTATTGTAAGTCGGTCAAAACAGTAAGACGAAATCTCATATGTGTCAAGTGTCGTATTGTAATATTGATTGTAATTAATATTATGATGTTTTACTATCTCGTGGTAGCAAATGAATATCATTATTAATTTATTTTTGTGCAATTACTCCACTGGTTTGTTATAATTATTAATACAAAGATATACTCGTAAAAAGATATACTGGAACCTGTGTCTGTAGGCCAATATTGGGCAACCGATAACATAACAGAAATATAAAAATAAATAAAATCGGCTTTATTTGACATACAAAATACATAAATTTCAAACATTAAACAAAAGATAATATAAATGAAAAAAAAGTTAATATTAAATAAAACTAAAAATGTTGAACTGTGCGAATTACACAGCCCTCGCTGTTATTTTGCTGTCATGGTCCGTCGTAAATCGGAACACCACAATTAAAATATATATAGGTACAAAAATTCTAAATTAAATTAATTGTAGCCATAATTAATTGTCGACAGTCTGCCTAATGTCACTAAAAAAATAAAATTTGACAATATTTAAGAAAATAATCAGTTTGAGTAATTAAATTGCACAATACCGAACACACACAAATACTCGGGACAGATATACAAACATAAGACACTTCGTAAAACCTGAGATTGCTTTTCAAACAGCCACAGAAAACATTTATGTTTAAAAGTTGATAGTGTTTGAGACATACATATGAACGATGGCCATATTTTCCTGCAACTTTTTCACAAGGAAATCTAGTGCCATTAGAATTATAAAACCTCCCAATAATAATTAATTCAAAACATATGATCGTGAAGTCATCCAACCAATGAGAGTTGGTTGGATCGTACGGTCACCGTGATATAAGTAAGCAAACCGTAATGCGTAGGCCATATCTTTTTTTTTTATTAACTCGGCCCTGCGGGGGCAGAGCCGGGGTTATGTGGGACTGGGCTGAACCCTGAAGGGGAGCAATCCGACTGCACCAAATCCCCGGGGTGTTCCTCCTCTCCACTGCGGGTAGAGAGACACGGGTACGCTATCGCTCGTCCGGGACTCCACCAGCGGCTGGCCGCGCCCAGCGCAGCCTCTCCCCGAGAAGGGAGACACAACGGTCCCCCGACTCCAAATGTAAGGCTCGCCGAACATCAGACGAGCCTTCCATCTCGGGCCCTTCCATGCTGGGCAGCGAACTCCCCCGAGTCCGCTAACCATGCCATGGGGCCAGGACAACATCCCCTCAACTGTGAAGTTCTGAGGATGCTCCCCCAGCCCCCGCGGCGGATCTGTTGGTAGGGTCCGCCGCAACACCCTACGCGCATCCACGTGGTAACGAAGCGAACGAAGCTAAGCTAACTTAGCTCAGCTCACCGCGAACTAAGCTAACTAAATTAGCCCAACGATCCCGCTAGCTATGTAAAATATGTCGCCCTTCTGCCTCCATTCACCCCTGCACGTAGTCACTACTTACTATGTATTTTCTTAGCTTAGCTTTGCATGCAATTACGTGAGCTAAGCTAAGTTAGCATAGCTGGCATAGTTGGTTGCATGCAACTACGTGAGCTAAATAAGTTAGCTGATTCGTTCGCGGTGTGGCCTGCGCTTAAATCTTAAAGATTTATTCTATTTGTCAAAAGTCAACTTTAATCCAATCCTGGCAACTCAGCAGGCATATGGGCCTTATATCACTTTTAAATATCAACTCTCGTTTGAGCTGGAATCACAAATTAGAAAACTGAAATAGTACAGCGCCGACAACTGACCTATATGTACGTCTCCGTATATTCCAAAAATATTCTAAATTTATTGTAATAAAGCTAATATTTCTAACAATGGGAGGCTGTTCCTGTGGAGTGGGAAAAACAACAAAACATCTAATTACAAAACAAACGGAATCGCATTTCATCGGTTATTAAATATATAATTTTGCAATTTTCGTCCATTATAGCAAAGTTCAAGTTAAACTGGTCAATTTGAAGTGAAACAATTGACGACACCCGTCAATTGTTTTAAATTCGGGCTGGCCAATCGGAGCGCAGTTGTCACAGTAATGATTTGGCAGAATAGTTTTTTTTACCTGAACTTCGTAATGTAAAAGTTGATTTTTGTGTAAAATCTCTTAATGTATTTTAGGCAGCTATTCGAAATCTTCGAACCGCTACCAACACTCTCGTTAGAAAAGATGAATGTGGTGACAAAGAATGCTATCAACATTTGCAAAGGAGTCTACTTTACGCTTGGACTATTCGGCTATATTGCTTTTAACTCGCATAATATCTCCGGTTAGTATACATTTTAAGTTATTATGATAGGAGTATCAAGTGACGGGACGAGCAAGTCGTGCGCCTGGTGGTACGCCACACGTCTACCTTGAACAGGTGCCACATAGAGTTTGGTAAAAATCTGAGGGATACTGCGACTGTTCTCGTCACCTTGAAACATAACGTTTATGAGTCCCATGTGCCTGTAATTTCACCAGCACCCTTACCCTTCAAAAACCCGGAACGTAGCAAGGCTCACATGTTTATATTTAGTAACTCGCAAGCAAGCTTCTTCTTTCATGACTAAACAAAATCCAACCTGTGATTATCCACAAGCGTAGATATTATTAAGTTTTTTATTAAGTTTTAACTTATTACGCCACGATTGCATGGAAAAGCCTTATTTAGAAGTAAGGCAGCTAGTAGTACGTTTTCGTTTTTGATCTTGTGTGCAATATATTTGTATTGAATTATCTTTAGTTGTTAAAAAAAAATACAACTGTCTTATTTGAAAACTAATTTTTCTTGAGACATAGTTCCACAAAGTGGTCCCTGTCCCCCAAAGTGGGCGATGAAGAGTCCTACGTCTGTATTCAAGTCGGAACACTTGGGGTGCGTTGATGCTGTCCAGGGGGTGCTACCGCTTTTGAAAAAAACCTGACTAGATAAGCCCTCATAGCGTGCAAAAGCAAGGTGAATTGTCAACTTACGGCTCAAGGTGACGGGCGCAGTGGCAGTGCCCCTCAGATCTTTGCGATTTAAAGCTCTGAGTGGCACTGCAACTGTTATGGACAAGCGTGTAGCTTACCATCAGACGCACGACCTGTTCGTCCCGTCAATAGACATTATAAAAAAAAGCTATTTCTGCCGTTGTATTTATGGTTATTTTAAATTTCAGGCAACATCCTAATGAGTTTGAGCCCGACAATGGCGAATGACGTCATCAAGATGGGCTTCGTCATGTCTCTAGCGTTCAGTTTCCCGCTCATCATCTTCCCTTGCAGAGCTAGTCTTTACTCGTTTCTTTACAAGAAGGTAATTTGCATACATACATTAAATACAATAATAATTTTATTTCGCTGAAACATTATTTATGTAGAAAATATATAACAAGTTGGGTTTTGATTTTTCGGATTTATATTTTGGATTTATTATTGTCACCCATTGGCGGTTTCGTTCCCACTAGTTCTATTGAGTAGCCCTATTATAGAACTATTGGGACTTTTTGTCGCAATTGTTCTATTAAATTATATTTCAATGATAATAGAACTAGTGGAACAATTTATTAACTTGAACTACTTGACATACCTCATTCGCTTTCTCCACCGCCGTCATACTTTTCATACACTCTTTCATTGAGAATATCCTCAAGATGGTTGAGATATATATACACGTTTAATTAGCTACTTAATTTTGTGCCGTTATTCTACTAACATCTATAATCAATTAAATAATTAATTGGAATTGGTAACATCGGCGTTCTGCTTTCAGTATTCTACAGATTCAAGTTAAAATAACGTTCTACTTGTCTATGGTTTTTGAAGTCGTTTCTGCTAGATAAACAATTTATTTTTCTTATAATTGTACATAGAATTATTATAATAATAATAATAACGCACACACTCAACATAGCCCCACACTAGGGAAACCCTGTGTCGCGGGTGCCATGGACACACACATAGACAACCACAAATTACACCCAAACTCACGAGAGAAATAAATGTAGGCCATACAAATATTTCTCCCGGCCCGGGAATCGAACCCGGGGACCTCTGCGTGGCAGTCCGGTATGGTAACCGTTCGGCCACGGAGGCAGTTAAATAATATAATAATAAATAATAAATTAAATAATAGTCTTTTCAGTTCCTAATTTGATGGTACAGAGTTATGAGCACGGATTTAAAATCAATTCTATGCCGCTTATGAAGCACCGTCAGACGAATGGGTCACAAATTTGTTTATACTACTTAGGCCTCACGGCGCGAATCGCGGTGCCGATCGCAGCAAGAACTACCACAGTTCCACACTCGCAGCGGTTCGCGCCTGGTTCACAGTATAATTCGCGCGTTTAATGAAGATGGATGCCGAAGTTGCTGTTGCAGCTGCGGGACTACTTTGCGCTTTAGCGATTTACAATTATGCTTTTATAAAGAAAAAAGAAACGTTATTAAAAAGAAATGCTGGAACAATCTAAAAATGTCAGTTCTAGTTCATTTGTCCAATCCCCGGCCATTTTAAGCACGTTCAAATAGTCAACAATAAAAATAGAGACACAACCGTCCGCGCCATTTACTTATCGGCAACTCAGCCGCACGCGAATGTGGAGCCTTATCGCGTTCACGCCAAGATCGCGCTTCGCGAATCCTTTGTCGCTAGACAAAATACCGACAACAATCGGAAACGACCCGCGAACGCGGCGCGACGAATATCCGAATCGGATCCACACTCATGCGTCACGGGTAGTTCGCGGCTTCGCGCGGTGAATCGCGTGCGAGTGTGGAGAGGCTTCTTTACATTTTCTTTCGATTTCACTTTATAAAGAAACAATGTTTTTAATATATACCTCCTTTTTTCAGGTGCATGCGTCCCATCACGACCATATAATAAACCATTCTATACCAGAAATGACATTCCGTTGCATCACAGTGGCAATCATAGCAGTTACATTATTTATAAGTCTACTTATACCGAACATAGAGCTGGTATTGGGCCTTGTTGGATCCACTATTGGAGTGTTGATTTGCGTTGTATTCCCAGCTGCATGTTTTGTTAATGTCACATTTAAAAATACTAATGAGAGAATTTTGGCAAAGGTATGTAAACAGTGGTATTAGATTACTTATTAATAGTTACGGACGCCATATTTTCTATCGACGACGCTGCGTATTAAACTTGTTTTTTCTTAAGGACAAACAAGTCGATAGTGTATCTTGATACCAAAGTAATATTTTCGATTCAACAACTAATGGTAATGGTGATTATTTACAACTCACATGCTTACTAGAAATCACCGTCCTAAAGGACAAAAGAAGTTTAATGAATTTAGATAATTATAGGACTCAGGAAGGGACCTTTGGGAACTCCTATTTACAGCAATAGACAATATAAGACGTTACTGAACATAATTTCTGTGCAAAGAAATGGAAAGTTCTTACAATTATTTGCTTGTGTTAATTGAGTTGGGAACAGTACTCTAGGCGTATGAGAAATACCATAGCTCTGTCTCACGAGCCATTAACATTATACGATGTATTTTCAGGGTATAGTAATCTTAGGACTGGTGATAATGGTGCTGGGCACGTACGCGAACCTGCAAGCGGCTGAGAATCAAGTAGACAAGTACGATGACAAGTTAACCCAGGAGCGCATTGACAAGATCGTTGAAGACTTTTTCGAAAAATGGGATAAGTCTGGTAAGTTTTATTGTTTCAGAATAGAGATTGTAGGAAAAACTTATTGTTACAGAAAAAAATTATACTTTTCAAGTCAATATGGCATAGGGCGTAATAGACTATGTCCTAATTCACAGAAGTCTAATACAGACGGCAGCACATCAAGCTACAAATTCAAATTCAAATTCAAATTCAAAATTCAAATTCAAAATTCAAATTCAAAATAATCTTTATTTCATAGGTAAGCATTATTACACTTGAAATCGTCACAATGGTTAAACTCTACCGCTCATTCGTAAGGCAGATTCCCCTGAGAAGAATGAGCAAGAAACTCTAGGGGTTGCTCTTTGTAAATAACATTTACAATATTTTTTTTTTATTTGAAACATCAGAGATCGAGACTACCTTCATGAGCTAAACGGGTTACTACCACGGATTTTTGTCATCCAAGTACGCAGAAGTTGTATAATAACCTTTAGTATAAAGTTTTTGTTTCACTATAGTTTTAAACCTCGTGAAAGGCAAATTTTGTATATCAACCGGAATCTTGTTATAGAAGCGTATACATTGCCCCTTAAATGATTTTTTGACTTTGTGAAGACGACTATCAAGAAAAGCTAGTTTATTTCTATTCCTCGTATTAATGTTATGTCTGTCACTATTTTTCATAAATAAATTACTATTCCTTTTAACATAAATTACATTTTCATAAATGTACTGTGAGGCTAGTGTAAGAATGTTAATTTCCTTAAACTTATCTCTCAAAGATACTTTGGGGCCCAGATTGTAAATTGCCCTAACTGCACGTTTCTGCAGGACAAAGATTCTATTGATATCGGCGGCATTACCCCAAAGCAAAATGCCGTATGTCATTAGACTGTGAAAGTAGCTGAAGTAAACCAATCTAGCGGTTTCGACGTCTGAAAGTTTCCTTATTTTTTTAATCGCGTACACTGCAGAGCCAAGCCGTTTTGACAACTTACTTATATGGGGACCCCATTGCAATTTAGCATCTAACGTTATACCTAGAAATACAACTGTATCCACAAGATTCAATTTTTCGTTTCTAACTACAATGTTTGTAACCGTCTCTCTAACATTGGGTAATGTAAATTTCACACAATTTGTTTTTTTCTCATTAAGAAGTAGGTTATTAACAGCAAACCAATCAACTACTTTAGATATAGCATTGTTCACATCGTCGTAGGAACATTGGTGCCTTTTAACTTTAAATAATAAGGAAGTATCATCAGCAAACAATACTATCTCATGTTTTATACCCTCCATAAGGCTAGGTAAGTCATTAATATAAACTAAAAATAAAAATGGGCCATTGACAGATCTTGTTCCGTTGCACTGGAGGAGATGTTCAAACAAAAGCATGTAGCTGGATGTGCTGTTTATTGTATGTACATAACATTGGTAGAAGATGAAACGATACAAACTGACAACCGTATATCTACGGATATAATTATCCAATAGAAACAAGTCCATTCTCAATAATAGAAATAAGTCTATCCCAATTACCAGTTTAATATGATGTGTAGTAGATATTGTACTTATTTAAATAATTTCAGGTGTAAACGGAGGCAAACATGTAAAGGAAATTGCACCGCAACTTGATAAAGTATTAGCTGTAGTAGAAAAGGATTCAGAAGTGCAACCACCCAACCCTTTACCACCAGGATCGGCGTCTAAAGAAAAACATGAAGCGGTTATAAAACCTGTAAATTCAAAAGTGGAAGAAAAAGTTATCGAAACAAATCTTCAACCAGTAGGACCAGTTGCCGACAAACCAATTGAAGACAATGAAAAGAACGTACAATCTAAAGTGAATGAAATTAAAAGTAACGGAGATGTCATTGAAAACAAAGCAGAAAAGCCACCTAAACAGGAAAATGCAAAAATTGATACAATACAAGAAAAAACTCAAGAGAACATTGATATATTGAAACAAGAGAAACTTATTGAGACTATTAAACAGCACGGAGAAGAACAAAAGGAGATGATGAAAAAGCAGAAAGAGATTTTAGATGAGATTATTAAAACTAAAAAAGAACTTCAACAGAATAAAAAAGAAAAACCCGAGGTGGACAGCGTAGAAGCTAAAAAATTGGCTGTTGAAAGTATACAGAAAATTGCAAACATAGCCATACAGAGTTTAAGCGGAGTCACTGATAAACCAGTCGATGTTCAACCAGGGAATAAAGAATCTGAACCTCTACAGAAAATAGCTAACGAAGCCGTTCAAGAAATCGCCAAAAAGGCTGTAGAATCTATTGTCGCTATTAACGAAATAAATGAGAAACAAAATTTGGAAACTAAAGGCAATATGGCTGAGCAACAAATAAGTATAAATCAAGTGCCAGAGCAACATGTAAACGATCAAAATATTCAAATTCAACAAAATGAACAAAACTCCGGCCCAAAGGCGAACATTGATAATAATATTCCTATAGCACAAAAACTAATTAATTCGCAACCATTGGCTCATATTCAAAATGACATAGCAAAAAATATAAACGCAGGAAACCAAATAGATATTCAACCTGAAAAAGAACAACAAGTGAAAACCGTTCAAGGTTTCGTTCAATCAGCAAACGCAGCGAATCAAGGCCAAGCTGTCAAAAATGTAGCCGAACCACCTGTTAACCAAATGAATGAATCTCCTCCAGTTAATGCCCAAGCACCAAATATTAACCAGCAACCTGAAAATATTAAAACTGCAAACGTAGCAATTCCACAATCTAACGTTATACCTGAACAACCAGGCATAAATATTGGACAACCTACCAATATAGTAATTAAACCACCTGAACAAAATGTGCCTATAAATGAAGGACACCAGTTAGCTAATGCAAATGCTCAATTTATTAATGTAGCAAAACCACTTTTGAATAACCAAGCTGCAAACGTAGGAAATCAACAAGCTGATATTCCGCCAGTGGCTAATGCACAAGTCAATAATATTCAAAATGAAAATCTAGCCCCTAATAACGTGCCAAATCAAGCTATACCGAATAAAGAACTTGTTGAAAATGAAAATCAAGAAGTAGAAAAACAAAAACTTCACTTACACTCTCCTGATGAGCCCCAGTCGTATAAAGTAGGCGAAGATTCACAATTAAAATCGACTATGCAGAAAAATATAGCCGATAATATACCACTTCCAATCGCAATAAAAGCTCAAGCACAAATTGCCCAAATTGCAAATAAACCCATGAGAGAAATCTTAGAAGCTGATAACGGTGACTTAGAAAATGTTGATGGTGCTAAAGTTGTTTTTGAAAATGAAAACACTGTTCCTAGACAAAAAAGAGAAGTAGTAGACTGTACAGAAAAATTATTACTACCTCCTGAAGACAAAGAAATTTGTGAAGCTCTAATAACTGATCATAAAATTGAGAAACGTTCCGAAGAAATTCTGCCTTCTAAAGTTGATTTAAATGACGTACTTGAAAGACAAAACCTGAATTTTGACGCAATACATCACGTAAGATCTTTAAAAAGTTACGACAAAACGTAAAATTAAATAGAAAGTTCAAATTTTGTTGGGAATAACGTGTAGTGAGATAATATAGGGAATGTACAATAACTATTAGGTTATAATGATATGTCACTTAGCTATCATGTAAGTGTTATATATCGGAGATCTGTAACTAATAGACATAAGGTGGACAGTCGATTGACAATTTTACTTGTGAATTCTACGACGCCTCGCAGCTGATAGTTGTTTGCGCTTTCCCTATTGTTGCATTTACTTATTAACTTATTCTTGTGTGTATATAATACTGTCAAATTTTGGTATATTGTACATGTTCGAGATCTCAATTACCATTACCGAAAATTATTTTGATTCTGTTGACTATAGTAAGTTAGTTTTCAACGACTTTTCTACTGAAAAATACGTACAAAATTAGTGCCCCATAGTAATTTGTGAATCATTTTGAATCTGGACCGCGATACAAATACCATGTTAAAACATTTTTTTTTAATTTGACACGTGAAGTTCCTAACATCATCTATTAATTTACTAGAACAGTACTATTTCAAAAGAGTGCAGATTTATGTATGGTCAGAATCGGCACTCGTGTAGTATCTTTGAATGTTATCAACTCTGCCCTCGGAACGAAAAAGGACACAACTAACATTTTTATTAAAATTGAGTTACATACATATTCAGAATCAGGAAAAAAGATCAATTTACTTTTTTTTAGTACAAATACATCTCAATAATGGTTGAATATACTGCAAGTTCAAAGGGCGCAACTGACATCAATAATCCGATTTATTTTCTATAAAAAGTCATATTTGACGTTTATTATGTTAAAAACACTAATATAAAAGGATTTTACTTAGTAACGTATGGAACGGTGCCCTTATTATGTAGTTAATTACAATATAATAACACAAAAAAGGCACAACTGAATACAACAGTGCCTTAGAGTTCTATTTATGAGTCAATTATTAAAAGTCGCATTTATATTAGTTATACCCTTTGTATGCAATAATGATATTTTTAAATGAAACTTTTGTATAAAACACATGGTATGTATTTATAACATTAATAAGCTATTTAATATCAAACGTAACCATATTTTAATTTTTATCAGAAACATCTCCAAATCTAAAATTCGTTTCTTGTGCCTTTATTTCTTCCGAAGACAGAACTATAATGTATAGTGTAAGCAACATTGACTGATTCTAACAATAAAAGCGAGTATTTTAGTAATTATGTACTTCCTTTGTTTTATTTAACGCCAAATTAAATATTGAAAAAAAGCACAACAAAACAATATTTTATCCTCATTTTTTCCCATATATCAATGTGCAATTACATATAATATTTAAACTCTTCCTTCATATTACAAAATTGAAAAGATCCGCGTTAGCACAGCGTTAAAGACCATGTATAGCCCACTGTCCTCTGCCTAGAGAAGGTTTAAGACTTGCAGTGGGATATAACGTACAGGTAGGTTGATAATTTGATAGTAAATATAAAAAGATTGGTTTATTTTAAATATTTTTTTTATTCGATAAATGCGAAAACAAACATAATTGACAACCTTAATAACTTGTACTATAAAAATAATCAAAATTATAATTTACACATCACTTCTTCTTCGTATCCTTACTTTCTTCTACGGACGATGATTTTTTTGATCTGAAAATAGAGAAAAAATTAAAAGTTAATTAATTTATAATTAATTAGTCAAGTAAAAACAGCGGGTTTACAATAAACCGGAAAGACAAGAGCATTAATGCCACCGGGATGTCTGTCACCTTTGAAAAAACAACATTTTCGCTCTTATTGCATAAACGAAGCTTCGTCCGACCAGCTCCCGCCGGCTGCGACTGTATTAGGACAAATCCTTCGTCTTCCTATCGTAGTTGTACGGACCGAATTTAATAATTAATAGATACGCTTAAATGACATTTTACTTTTTGAGTCCCTGTAAGTACTGAAAGGGAAGCTTGTACTAACCGTTTACTGGTGCCAGTGTCGACCTTGCTAGTATCGCCCTTGCTAGCATCGACCTTGCTAGTATCGACCTTGCTGCTAGTAGCTGACTGCACCGAGGTGCGGCGCGTGGCGCGACGAGACGGGGTGGCCGAGCTCTCAGAATCCACTGGCGACCCTTGCGGGCTGTCACTTTCACCCTTCTGCTGACAATAACGTTATTTTTAGCCGACTTCAAAGAAAGGAGAAGGTCTTCAATTCGACTGTATTTTTTTGTGTGTGAATGTAACGCGATGACTCCGGCATTTGTGAACCGATTTCGATGAATCTTTTTTTATTGTGTTCCACCTTTAACTACCGCCGCAAATTAGCGGATGAATCCGGCTTATTGGATTTCGCCCAATTTCGTTGTCGATCTCAGCTGCATGAAATCAGTTTCGACTGCAAGCATTTAATGCGTAAAGTCATAGTCAACTACATGCAGCCGAGACCACGATTGCATGAAGTTGATAACGACTTCACGCATTAACTGCAAACATGCAGTCAATCTGATAGAAGCCTTATATAATAATTATAACAAACTAGTGGAGTAATTTCACAAAGATTTGAATCCAGACGCAATAACTTACTTTAACATCTGTAGAAGTACGCCTGCCCTTAGGAGTGTGCAGCGCTTCGCAGGCACGATTGAACGAGGCGCGGCGGCCACGAGCAGGGCTTCCGATTGTCGAGGGGGACCCAACCTCTGAAGTGCTCACTGTAAGGGAAATTATACTCCATATACTTTATATACATTATTTGACAGTTTCGAAAAACACCTCCAACGAAATTGTTGTCATAGGACCAGACAAAGTTATATTTGAATCGTCGTTATGTTACTTATCTGGTCCGTCCCAAAAGTATCGAACATTTTTCAGGAAAAATACTTTTATTGAACTTATCGGTACCATACATTAGTACTCTTCAAAATAACACCCTTCAGCATCGATGCACTTTTGTAGGCGAGTTTTCCATGCCCAGAAGGCCCCCTGGAAGACGTCAACGGGTAGGTCCTTCAGCGCCCTCGTCGTAGCTTCTTGGATGTCCTTAATTGTGCCCCAATGCTTGCTTTTGAGCTTCGACTTGATGCTGGGAAACAAGAAGAAGTCTGCCGGAGCGACGTCAGGACTGTAGGGAGGCTGCGGGACCAGCGGGCTTCGTCGGTCACCTCTTCCCTTCCGTCACGGAACATCTTGTGCCACTTCCTGACCGAGGATTCGGACAAGGCTTTGTCCTTGAAGGCCTGTTTAATCATCTCGTTGGTTTCCACAGTATTTTTGCCGAGTAGAACACAAAATTTCACTGCGTACCTCTGTTCTAACGGATCCGTCATCGCGCTACTTTTAAAAACTTCGACGAGGTGTCGTTTAGAGCTCTACGCGAACGCACGTCCTGCCGCTCCAAGTGCTCGGAGCCAACTGGGACCGGTCGCGCTGTATCGGCTAGATCCCCCCACCACTTTCTGTTGCCAAGCGGAGCGCTTCCCGCCGTTCGGCAACACTCCCAAAAAAAATGTTCGATACTTTTGGGACGGACCCTGTATTAATTTTAGACTAACCTTCTACACAAGGCGAACAATGATTGATAAGTCAATACGAGGCGTCACCATTGCAAGGACCAAAAGGGCAATTCCATGACAAAAAACACTTATTTTTCTTATATAATCAATACTTGTTTTAAAGTAAGTAGTCAAAATTTGACAACTCTGAATTAAGTTGTATCATTTGCCTTTTCGTAATTGATAACGACAACTAACGAGAAAGATGAACATGGTAACTATCACCAGTTTCCAGTGACAGACAACATTAGCGGTCCCATAAAATATTTGTATTAAAATTATTCTCGAGTACTTAGGTTTTCGCGATTGTAAATTAAATTTCATTTTAATTAATGAATTTGGTAACAATTCATATTGTTAATATAAAATATACTGCGAAACATTTGTAACATAAATTGGAATGGTCTTTAGTAAATTCAAAATAAGAATTAAATTTTAATTAAAACCTTTGTAACTATAGTGGAAAATAGTGTGGTTTGCATTAAGACGCTTCCCCGAGCGAATGACCTTGAGCATTCAGTCCCTCTTACCGCACTACACCTTTACAATCTTTCGTAAAACTTTACTCACGCCCAAATCAATTTGTGGTCTTTCGAAAAAAGTAAATCAACCAAGATGTTTATCATTGATTTATCTATCCATTTATGTAAATAGCAAATCAAAATGATGCATATTTAAAGAGGAGATGCATAAATTCAATATTTTTTCTCATATCTGTGGGCTCTTTATAGGAAGATTTCATAAACATTTACTCAAATAAAAAAAATCCATCGGTTAATACGAAGACAACATTCGGAAGAAATATAAAGTATTTATATATTTTTTTATATAACGACTAGATAGCTACTAAAAAAGTAGATAAAACGTCTAGCGCAGTGTTTTACTCGGGGACGCGCCTTAATATTACATATAACTGGTTGATGACTTTACCATCTCAGACAGCCGTGACAATGGGACCTTTAAAGGCGAGCTCTTTGGTTTGTTTGAAAAAACAAATATACGCGATCCGAAGCACTAGTTTCATTTTCGACCGCAAGGAGCGCTGTATAATTGTTATTAAATATGAAAATATTTCACGAGGTCGCTCTAGCGACTAGCAACACCGTAAACTTACACCTGTCACAACAAACTAATTTTAATTTACTTTGCGATTGCCCGAATTGACGCTAGAATGTCATTATTTTGACATCTTCATGCCGCTTTGTGACAGTAACGATAACACAGGTAATTTCTGCGGATGTTGAAGTGCGTCATAGAATAACCCGAAAATAATAAATATGAGTAATACTTACCTATATCGACAGACATTCCTCGAGTAATGCGCGCTGCTTTTGGCGTGGATTTGCTTTCCGATTTCGCTCGATTCATGCGCACTGCACGCAAATGCGTTAGATAAAGCATGAGGGAAATTTAAAAAAAATGATGAAGTTGAAACAGAGGCTTTTCTGGTCACGCCTGAAAGCCTAATTGTCAAACTAGCGCGATATTGCAAATAGATCGACCGCAAAGATACAGTTCATTTTTCTTTTTACAAAAGTACCATTTTATTTAAATTGCACCAATTTTGAAATTGTTATATTTTAAGTTTAAAGTATATCATGGTGTTTTACTATCATGATATTAAATTTTTTTATGATATTACTACCACTAGTTTGTTATAATTGTTAATACAAAGAGCGAACAGTAATAAAAATTCCTTTGATCCGGTTCGAAGAAATTTTTCTTAGTGTTCGATCTTTGTATTAATTATTATTATTGTTATATTTTGTTTAATTAAACATTTGCAAATGAATATAATGGTAATATGCTATGATAACACGACAAAATCACGATCACAGAAAAAAAAAACAGTTTACAATACGTGACCTTACAATGCAACTAATTGAAAATAAACTGTAGCTTCAATGACAGACTAAAATGCTTTAGCTGTTAGAGGTACTAATTTCCAAGTATAAGCTTCGCAGCTAAATCGAGTTACCGGGTCGGCGATTGCATCTTTAATCTGTTTCATTCTAATGTATTTGTTTGGCATTTCAAACTTGAGCATCAGTTCGCAACTGTTTAAGTCTTAATTGCATTGCTGCGGACTGGAATGGAAGCGAATGTTTATAACCATATAGCATAATTAACTTTATGTCAATTATGTTACGTACATACAAACTAGACATGAGCTAAAAAAAACAGGTCGCGCGTTTTCCGGAGAAATATCACGCAGGATATCGGGAGATTCCGCAGTAACGTATCGTATTTAGTTTGTACGTTACACAATCGACATAAAGTTATTAATGCTATGTACAATTTCGTTACAAAAATTAGCTTCCATTCCGTTCCGCGGCACTGTAAATTGAGTAACAGTAACACTATAATATGAATTATCGGTTGTTTTCATAGAAAAGATATACGTGTCGTTGGTTTTAATTGAAAAGATGAAAAGACATGTGACTTGCATGTCGATGTTAGAACGACGTAACCGTATGTAATTAATTAAAAGTTTGTCTTAACTGTTTAGATGTAAAGTAAAAATTTGAATTAGCACTGTCCAGTACAATGCTAAAGTTTCTCAATATAAATTATGTATATTTTACACGGAACAAAAAAAAAACAATGGAAGTGCCTTAAGTGTCGAGTACTATCAGAACCGATGTCGCCAAAACTCACCGAAATCTTGATAATGATTGGTCGTAGCTTCAAATTTAAAAAGAAATAAGAAATTCAGGTTTGTTAACATAATTTAAATTTTACCCTGTTGGCATATCGTTGAAGTTTAATAGCATCAATAACTATTATTGCAAGTTGCGATGATTTGATATTACATTGTTACACTGTTGTTAATTTCAATCAATGTGCTGCCATCTAGTGGTTAATTGCTGAACGTTCGCGAATTGGAGTTATTTATTTAGTTCTGCAAAAACGAAGAGAATATTTTGCAGGGGTAAGCTTTACTTTCGTTTCTTGTAGCAAAAAAATTATTTCGATAAACAGAAAATTTGAAATTTATTCAAATAAGACTTACCGATGATTTGAAATAATACCACGGATAATATTTTTGGTACGGCTATCAATTTTGCACTCCAAAACAGCACAATAAGGCATTTTTCTGCGATTTTAGATAATTTGCGCAAAAGAATGACACAACCGTTCCATTGTTGTGTGATATTTTAGTTAACTTCGAAGCTTGAACTTAAAATATGGTACCATACTACTTTAAGCAAATTCTAAAGCGACAACGTAGCAAGGTGATAAGTAAATAACGGTTTTGCTTAAAAGAAAAGTCGATTTTCGGGCTTATACTTACATCGTCGTTGCTTAACAGCGTCTGAAGCTATGGACTCCGGCGACACGTTGCTTTGTATTTCAGCAGAGTCAGGTGAACCTAATTGGAATATTAGTTATTAGAGGTGCAAACAAAAAATAAACGTGCAAACAAAAAGAAGACCAAGCTGGACAATGAATAAGTTAAAAAAACAAAAATATATATCATATGAGGTACGATGCTAACACACGCATTGCCCTGGTTCGTTGACATTCGCTCTCTATGTTAATAATGAGTGACCAGTACGCGACACTTTTTACTACTGTACCTTTAATTGATGATGAACGATCCCCTTTCATCTCCAATTTAAACTCAGGAATGGCGTTAAGTCATCAAATGAATTGTCCCAGACAATTATTGGCAGGTTTTATGGCCCGATTTAAATAGCTTTACTCCGGCACGTAAAGTTGAGACCCACCACATTGCCGACTCTTGGTTTTTAGGTAGAGTGAACTTACCACTTTTGATTTTGTTGATTGTTTTACTGATTTTTGTTAAGGTTAATTTGTTATACTTGATTGTGTTAAGGAAAATTAGGAATACGTGTACCATTTGTAGCAGAGTTAATAATAAGTAAATACCATGGATTTACAGTAATACGGTCGTTTTAGCGGTTACAAGAAAAACTAACATTTGCCATACGAATATTATATCTCTTCCTTACAAATACAAGCAGTGGAAATTCACGGTAAGGTACCCGACTTGTTAGAACTTACAAGGGCGGTGTGAATGAATATATTAGTTGTGAAAAGTTTTCTGTGATTTTAAAGCAACACAGCCGTGACTATGATTTTAAGGAAAAAATCACACCTTTTTTATTGCTTTATATTGCTATTACTGTTCTTAGCTTAAATAATTGCGTTGTTATACACTAGTGATGCAACAGACCTCTGCTTCTGCTTCCGCAACTTTAATCGGAAGTTTGCAACGTTTGCGACGGATCAGGCTTTAGTGCGGATTACTTGACGGTAGAGCGCGTGTTTTTTAGTAGTTGTGTAATAATTGCACTTCAATTATGAAACAAAAACAGCCCGTTGGAAAGTATTGTTGAGCTCTGTATAGTATACACTAGTTTACACTTCCAGTAAGATTTTATGACATCTGTTTCCGTTATGCCATTTCCGTTGCAACACTATTATACACTATTAATTAATTTATGATCTGGAATGGAATGGAAGCGCACCAGCGACCGCGCCTTCAGGTTGTAATATTTCGTCGGCGTTTGACGTCACACTGCGCCTGCCATCGCGCCACTTCCCGCGGATTTGCCAGGCTTCGCCGACGGCAGCTCCGGAATTCTCGCGATTGCGCGAGCATTCTCGAGCACGCCGCGAATTCCGCGGAAGACGTGAGACGTGATTTTTGGCTCGTATCTAGTTTACACGTTACGCAATTGGCCATAAAGTTCATCACGCTATGTTATCGTTACAAAAATTTGCTTCCATTCCGTTCCACCGCAATATAAATTGAACGCAAATAAGAAAATAATAAAAGAAATTTAATAAAAATGTTTACCCTGAAAATCAGTCTTATTCATCAAACTAATTCGATCGATAGGCTGCACTTCAAATCCGCTAGAGTGCGTGGAGGCGTCGTCGTCCTCATCATGTGACTGTTCTGATACAACGCTGCGAGATGTGTTGCTCGGGCGGCGTCTCGGTGGCGCGGCTGGTTTGGGTTCTAGCCAAGATTCTAGCACGGATTTTTGGTGTCGGGTCAACCTGGGGAGCATGTATATTTTAAGGCTTCTGGCTGGAACTGGAAGACGGAAACCTGACAGACCGAAAGCCCATTAGTCAGAGAAAGAGAGACCCGAAGGCTGGAAATATATGGAAAGAGGAGACGAGCAGTATAACCGGTTGGCGAAATTAATGGGAGGATTATGTCAGATACTTAAGTCAGAAGACTTAATGATTGTGGTGACAGAGGTTTTGCGGCCATGCAATTTATAGTAGGTTTCGTAGCTAAAGTCAAGAAAGTAAAGTAATTGTAATATCGAAATGAATATTGCCGTTTCATTCTCTCTCCTGACTCCTAACTATTTTCTTATATAACGAGACTTAATTCTGTTTTCAGATTTGACCATAAATTTGCACTCTTGGTAGACAATGTCACATCTGCAAAATGGCAACTTTTGTGAGAGGCTTAAATATTCTACGAACGAAATTAGTCGATATTTTTTTCAGGCATAAATGGCAGAGATATAAAAATTTTCACATGTACATTGCTTCATGTAGTTCGCATTCTTTTTTACTTTTATGTGCATAGAAACAATTGATGACGTATGATTTACATGTGCATTTACTTTGACAAGGATACAAATTTATGTTCATTTAAGGATGTTAAAAAGAAGCATTCAAATTCGGGACTTTTGCATATGACGTGATATTAAAGTCATAGGATTGGTCAGTCTTCCGGTTGATGTTTTCAATGGTCTCAATTCTTGTAATTAAAGTTAGCAGTGTGTACTTACCTTCTCGAACTTGAGTATTCTTTGATAATATCTTCTTTCTCATCAACTTTTGAGGTGGACTCCTCAATGGCCAGTTCAGGTATCACAGAGAGATCTGGTTTCAGTGCGGACTTCCTGCCTTTCCTTGCTGGCTTCACATCACCTCCGTCCTCACTTACTTTGCTCCTAAAAAGAAAATTCCACGACAACATATTAATGCTATTTACTGAATCGACCTCTGATGGGTACTTGTCATAGCTCATAAGAGGTATTCTCAGAATCTAAGGAATTCATATTGTTTTGCATAAATTATTATGTTTGATTTAACATAGGTTACATTTATCTGGAATACAAATGGAGGCCAACTATAGCCCTCGAAAAGTGCTGGTCCGCCAACGTTTATCTAAAGGTGCATGCACCTTGAAAATATATTTTTATTGCATCGTCTATATATATCATACACACAAAATAACATAACAATAAAATAATAACAATAGTTAACGATAAATGTCATTTTTTTTAAATTTCCTATTTTTCTGACCCCAAGTCACACCCCGGATACTCCATACAACGGTCGAAAGTTATTTACCTACTACTGCTACTACATACAGCAAGGCACTATCTGCACATTCGCAAATGTGTGCGTGAAGTGGCAGGGTTAACGATCACTTTTTCGTATGTGGTCAGAGCGCAATATAGCGAAAATTCTAACGCGAATCTGTTTTCTATAAATTTAATAATAGAATCCTAATAATTTCACATGTTCATTAGGTTTTCAATATAATATTACATTTTTCATTAATTTACTAACCAGAATAATCCTGTAGGTTTATTTAAAAAAAAAAAATTAAAAGCACTTAAAATGTTATATTTTTAACAGGTATTTATAGATAAGGTAAGCAAGGTATTTGAAATTGCGTGTCCAACTTTATCATTTATTACTTAGTTAATAATTATATTCACTACATATTTATCGGCAATAAAAATTGTAAATTTGAGAACCCTTGTCTCCTACATTACATCTCATTATATTGATATAATAAATCTGTATTACATATTACTCTGCACTTAATAAATGGACAAAACAATAACTGAATCAGTCTCAGACGTAAGTTTTTTTACTTAACTCGTTTCATCTTTCGGAAAACGAAAGAAACTTCTTTCTTTATCCCGTTAAGCCTACGACAAACAGCTGTACACAGCAACAATTCACGACCATTATAAATAGTAATGTACAATATCGTTATATATTGACGTACAAGTTTCGTAATGAATAAATGAAAACTATATTATTATGTATACAAATATCAAAGCCGTCTAAGCGCGAAAACGGCTCGCCAACAGCCTTGTTGCCGTTTAGTCAATGTGACCGTCAATGTGCGGGGCGGGGTGCGGTATTTAAAGCTAGAAAGGGGCGGAGAGTGTCCATTTTCGTTACTATTTTGTTCTCAGCCTAAGTGAAAAAAGTTTGCCCACAGGGGTTGGACAATTGTCCAAAAGTTTCGGAGCGAATTATGTTAGATTGGTAAGTTTATCACGGCTGACAAGCTATTTTTGAACCCTGCGCTAGTGTCGACTTTTGATATCAAAAACAGCGCGGGGATCAAAAGATAACTTGTTACATTCGTATATTTTTTACCTCGAGCTTCTTATTGATATAACGGAGCCGCTAGATGCTATGCTAACATCATCATCTTGTTTGCTTTGAGCTCTTGTAGTACGACGTCTCGGAGTAGCAGTTTCATCAATGATCGAACTTTCGAAGTCACTAGCTTTTTCTGATATTTCTTTAGAAGCTCTACGTGTCAAAATTTTACGAGGTTCAGAGCTCGTTGGTGTTTTAGCGCGTCTTCTAGAAGGTGTATTTGGTTTTTCTGGAGTTTTGTCTTCAGATTCAGTAGACGCTATAGATTGTGAACGCTTTCTCAACAGTGGGGTTTTTGTTTCTTCGGTTTTCGTTCCTATAGAATCAGTTTCCTTTGTTGATTTGTTTGAAGATGTGGATTTGGCACGTTTTCGAGTACGTGGCGTTGCTTTTTCTAGTTCTTCAGTAGGTTTTTTAATTTCCCTATCTGGTGTTTTTAGTACTCTTCTAGACGCTTTTTTATTTTTATCGTCCAGTTTAATCTCTTGAACACCATCATTTTCAGTTTGTCTTCCCGATATATTCTCATCTATTGCATTTTTTTCAGATTCTTTTTGGGTAGCTCTCTCATCAATTTTAGGAGTATCTACATATTGATCTTCTATTACCATGCCTTCATGGGTTGAAAGCGTAGTTGGTCTTGTGCCTACTTCGAAAGACTTTTCTGTTGCACTATGTAAAACTTGTAAAGTACTTCCTTTAAGTGTTACAGCTATTGATGAAGATTTTTCGTCAGTAGTATCTTCAACAGACTTAGATTTACTCTGCAAAGTAGAGCTTACTTTTTTCGGTTTATCTGTTTCGATATCAGGAATAGATTTTAGAACATTTTCTTCTACATTGCTCCTTTCAGAGGTGGATTTTATATTTTCATCTTCTGTCTGTTTAATTTCAAGTTCAACATCTATAAAAAAGGAAAAATAGTTCGATTACGTGTTGCTGTAACTTTCATTCACGTTTAAAGAATTACATCTACTTTTAACAACACATTGATGTCTGTGTCGTCGTAGAAGAGATCACCGGTTCAAAATTGTACGAAGCGCCATATGTACATATTTTTACTTTAGAGTAAAGGTACTCTACATTTTTCAAAACCTACTAGAACTAAAAAAACCTACTCATTATTATTAAAATATTCTTACCTGTTTCTACAGAAATATATTTTTTTCTATGTGCTTCTACCTTTTCATCAGACTTGTCAAGATTTTCAGAACAAAGCAGAGTAGACTTGTCTGAATGTAGAGAATTATCATCTGTCATTAAAGAAACTTGTCCAAGATTTAAAGGATCAGTAGTTTCTTCAGCTTTAGTGGAGTCCTCTTCGTTTTCATTTACTTGAATGGTTGAAATTGGTTTGGTTGCTTGTAATACATTGGATTCACCTATAGCTGATATTTCTTTACCTTCATTTACTTGAACACTACCAGTAGGGTCGGATACGTTTAACACTTCATTAACATTTTGCGTTTGAACAGCTAGATTTGAATCAGGTTCTTTAAATATCTTGGATTTATCACGTTCTTCATTAGCAGAACTTTCTATTATTTTATTTTCTTCAATAGTTGAAGCAGGTTCGATTTCTCTTGTAGCCGATTTTTCACTAACTTTATCCGATTCATTAGAGTCGTTGGATTCATCGTCAATTTGTAGACGATCGGAATTTGATGACGAACCTATTGATATTACTTCTTCGTTTTCTTCTATCTGAAAAATGCAAATAAAAAAATATTTAAAAAACTTGTATAAAGACATAAATACTGAACGGAATATATCATAGTCACAATATTGTTGCATTAAATGTAGTCAAACCGCCAAAATTATTGGCCGTCGGCCTTTCAAGGTGCCCTACGAATTTGGGTCCCGAACCTTCCTGATCCATCTATTCCTAGTTACATTGCCCAGGTTGCTAACCTACCTAGCCGAGTGGCATAAACGCATTACGTTGTTTGCACGGAGCGTACAAGTGTAATGTAATTACATAATGAATGACAAACTTACCTTTCCGTCCTGATCATTCTCTGATTCAGATCGTTCTTCGTCTTCTTCCTCATCAGAATCTTCCTCCTCCTCTTCGTCCTCTTCTTCTTCAGCATCTTCATCATCGGCTTCTGCTTCACTTTCTTCCGATGCTTCCATCTGTTCATCCCCTCCACTGTCACTACTTACATTATGTTCTTCATCGGAAATATCTTTCTCAATCTCATGAATCTCCCTTTCAATCTCGACAATCTTTTCTTTTTCCTTTTGTATCACAGCTTCATTATCTTCCTTCATAGCAGCTTCATTGTCTTCCTTCATTTCTATATCACTATCACTAGTCAAGAGACTTGATAATATAGCTTTAGATTCATCAACACTATTATCTAATACAGATTTATCTGCACCAGTAATATTCGATGTGGTTGCAGGTGTGTTAGCTTTTACGTCTTTATCTGTTTTATCAGCTTTGTCTTTATCCTCATTTTCTAAATCACTAGTATCACCAACACTGCTTTGATAACTATGTAAGACTGACTGACCAAAAATAGATTCGCCTATAGTAAAAGCAGGTAAGGATTTTAAATCCTTAACAAGGCTGTCTTCTTTTGTTTGGTCACCAGTATGAGATGTTTCAGCAATGCTGCTCTCGTAACTATTGAGTATCGATTTACCGAATTTGGTTTCGTTCATAGTAAATGCAGGTAGAGATTTTAAGCCGAAGTCATTGTTATCAGCTTTAGATTCAGAAAATACACTTTCATTTGTACTGTGGAGAATAGATTTGCTTGCAATGGGAGATATGGTGACGTCCAGTAAGTTAGCGGGTTTAGATGATTTCATTGGTGTGCATTCAATAGTGCTTTCCGGTAACAATGTTTCTACAACAACTTCTGTAATGAGTTCTAATTTCTTTTGTGATTTGACAGCATTTGATTCTAATACTAAACGCGTGAGAGATTTTTTGGCCGATCTTGGCTGATCTTTCTTCGGTGACATTAATTTTTCTGGGGTTTTCGAACGACTCCTAGAATTTAAAAAAAATCGTTACGATAAAATAGTAACAATAAAGTCGCTTTGCAACATAATTTAAAAAATATTTTCACCTTAAGGTACGTGGACTAAGCGGTGGCTGCTTTTCAACAGGTTCAATTTCAGGAGTACGCGAACGGCTCCTGCATTCATAAATGAAGATTCAATGTTTTTGTTCCCAAACAATGACAACAAATTATACAAGATCTAATTCCAATCACAATACTTGTGTTTTATTTACAGCTCTAAATTATATACATTTATTAATTTGCCATTGTATTGTCGACACTGTCGTTATTTGACTTAATGATGAAGAATCCTAGTAATATTGGAGAATTTGAACTAACCTCAAACTACGACGAGTTGGCGACGATGTCGGTGACTCGGAAGACTTAGTAGGCGATTCAGTAATGGCTTCAAGTTGTGGACACTCCACTACTGTCTCGATTCTTTCTGGTGTACGAGATTTAGTCCTGTAACAATATCATTATATAGCTTAACGTTCTTGTAAGAGGATTTGCGCACGACGTCCGATTCGTAACAATTCCGAATCCGAGAAATGACGATCCGAAATGTCACAGGTGGCCGAAGTGTCAGTTATCTCTAGGTGCACAAGAACAAAGAACAAAGATTTTCGTATTTTCTCGGATTCCCATCGGACTTAGTACACAAGCGACATCTAAAGTGGGTCCGAATTTTCTATATTTGTATTGTCTCGGATTCGGAACTATTACGAATCAGACGCAACGCGCAAACACTTGAATAAGGGATTTTTATTAATTGGAGATTAAGGATTGCCCACGTGGCATCGAGACTGCGCGGCACTGCCATGTGACTTTGCGCGACATTACTATTTGCGTGACACAGCGGATACATAGTCAACCTTGACGTTGTGTCACGAAAGAAGCTTCCCCGTACGGCGTACAATTCCTTACCAGTACGTCTGGCACACCCTGGGCAAAAATTGGCGATATGCATTGATACGACAAGAAGTCGATACCATAGACTATTCCATAATTCCGGAGCACATGCATTTGTATTACGAGCAAATTAGGCTGGTTTCACAGCTGTGCGTACGGTCTTACGGGTCATCCGCATCCGTAGAATACGCAGTGCTCTGCACCGATATTTACGGAAAACAGTCGCCTAGAATGAACGCACTGGTGGCCTGTGCGGAGTTCACGCGGAGTGTGTTCCGTACGGAGCAATCCACGTCACTGTAAAACGATGTTTTAACGCCAGACGTATTACTCTTCTTCGGTGTTGCGCGGATGGTCCGCAGATAAATCCGCACTGCTCTGAAACCAGCCTTAAAGCTAAAATTAAATCTTGCATTGTCTTCGAAATGAAACTATTTTTGGATGTACATCGCGTATATATTTTTTTTCAAAGTAACCATCGTTTCGGGCTCTTTATACGTCTCATGGTCGCGGCTGTTTAGTTAGCCGTTAATGTGTCGCTATTGTGAAAACCTAAGACTCGATTTGTCTTTTTCTTGCTGATAACGGAAGAGACAGAAGTACCTCGTTTCGCTACGTAGTAAATACGACAAGGTTGCTACTTAACAGATTTGAATTTTAATTATAGCATAAAATTTACCTTCGTTGTCTAGGCACAGTCAGCGTATGTTCTACACGTTGCGCTTCGCTTTCAACTTCTTGTTTCGGTAGTTCGATTATGGGCTCTAATGGCGATGACCGTGGGCTTATTTCGGGCGTTTTGGATCTGCTTCTGTAAGACATAAATATGATAAATATCAATTTTTTTAAGAAGTATATTGCTAGGTGTTGCAATAATATTTCTATAAAAATTAAATTTGAGGAAGTATGCTAAATTATTTATATAAAAATAATAAATGTAAAAAGTAATAATACTTGTCAACGCGTACATGGCATAGATGACATTTACCGGAAAATATTCACAATATCGTATCATCAGTCGTTTAACTTTTGTTTTGTAATCATTTTGATTTTCGAAATGTATCGAGTCACTCACACGGTAGGTTTCAAATGTCTAATTCTAATGTAACAGTCGTCTTTTTACAATAGATGAATATTTTTACCAGAGAAAATAAAATGAATAACTTAGCCCCGTGTTACATAGAGATTACTATAGGCAGGAAACGAGTAGGTAAAGGAGAAGATAAGAGGCTGACCACAGCGACAATACACATTCAATTCTAACAATACTATAAGCCTCAATAAACTTACCTAGTACTTCTTGTTTGTCTTAACGGCGTAGTTATGATAGGCGAGTCTTGCCTCTCAGGTGTTCCAGGGCGGCTTCTGAAATAACACATTCCTTTATTGCCATTTTATGTAATATTCTGCCTGTCACCCACTGTACTGTTCAAAAAACTTTCGTTTCAAGTAAATTAATAAATAAAGTCTGTTCCAATCCATTTTCAACAAAAAGTAAACAGAACTGTTCGGTTAAAATTCTAAAGCAATAACTCAATAAATCGAATAAGTAACACGCACGTATATTTCGAAGATTTCGACTTGATATCTCATCACTTTTTCCAACAATATTTATTTGAATAGCATCGTAAAATTGTATTTGAAAAATGGTAGTCCAAAAGTGAGGTTATTTTTCATCTGTACATATATCATAGGACTTGTCTATGGTTGCACGAAAAAAAAACATTCGGTTCATTCAATTGAAGTTGTTGTAATCGATTAGTAAATCGAATATTTAAATCGCAATCGAACGAGTATCTGAATTTAAGGATTTGAAAGAGGACTTCCGTCTATGGTTGGGTCAGTGACTTGTTTGTTTACATTTTGTTGAAAATGAACTGAAACGTAGTATAGTGATGTAGTTAATTTTAAAAGTTGTATTGTGTATTACCGTTACCATTAGTAATTATTAGCGTACTATGTCTGCGTGTTTAGTGTGTAACTTACCTATTCATCTTAGGTGTGCTTTCACCACTAATAGCTCTTATACCGCGTCTACCTTTGGGCGTTTTTGGCACTTCGATCTGCACGTCCTTATTCTCCATCCTTTTCTCACTCTCCTCAGTGGACACGTCTTCTCTTTCTTCCTCGCGGGGAGTCGAATCGTAGCTGCGGCGTCTCTCACCCGAATAACGTGGGTTTATAAGTGTTATTGGTATATCCGCTATGCTTTCAATTGACGTATTCGGGTCTTCTGACAGACTACTGTTTGCTGATATAGATAGGGAGCGTCTGAAAATTCAAATTTATTGATTGCAGGGTCATTAGTGTGGTGGCCTTCGCACCTTTGGAGCATTTCGGTCATTCGGACGTTGACACTACTGTGCGGGCGTTAACGCAGCCGTTCGGCTGACGATACCGCCAATCGGGAGCCGTCGGTTGCGTATGATCGCGATCGGAAATTCGCAGGAAGCAAATTTGTTGCCAATCTGTGTAGAGCCGAGTCGTACAGTCTGTCTTTTTCGAAGACGGAATAATATGACATTTGTAGGGTTGCCAGTTATCACGAAATTTTAAATAGTCATGTACATGTTATCGACAGTTTCATAGATAGATTGTGAGAGAATGCCAAAAACGTCTAAATTGTCAATGTTATGACGTTATAATGATTACTATACTACAAATTTTCTAGGACGATCCCTGTGACACTTCACAAAATTCTCCATAATATAACCTTGTAACGAAGTCTACTAATTTACGTATATAAAATGCGTGTTTTTATAAGTCTCAACTATTTTTATAAGTCTCGCTTTTAAGTGAATATCTTTTGTTTAAGCAAATACATAAAATTAAAGTAAAAGTAACACCAAATTAGTGACAAATGCCCAGAGAAACATTTTTTTTTCAAAAATGAATTTAAATTTACGACAACGTACAAAGGTTACTTCATTAGACTGCATTTGCTAGAGATGAGGTATAACGATAAAAAGTTTTCGATCATTTATTGAATAAATAAATAAAAAAATAAAAAAAGTGCAAATTCATGTCTGTAGTATTGGTAAAAGGCACGTATCTGCACCAAAGCAAATTTCACAGAAGACGGACTTAACGTTATTAATTTGTTATTTCAATGGCTACGACTTTCATTTTTGTACAGAAAGCATTAATTTATGTTGTCTACGGACTGATGACAGTAGAGTCTCTGTAAATCACGCTAATTTGGCTGCTGATTGTTATTGTATCATAAACAAAGACTGCGTTTACATTTAATTTATTTTTTCTCCGGTACCTGTACCTATTCCATAGAAATAACGGATCGGATATCAGAAATAAAATAAATATTATTTATACACAATTCATGGGAGTCCTTTATTTTAAAAACTCAATTGTTATGTTTTTTTAAATTCGTAATATTATGCAAGGCTGTATAAGAGAGAACCTTTTCTTCAAAAATCTATCGACTTTACCTCATCCATGTGAAAACATCAAATGAAGTGTCACAGGGATCATACTAGAAAATTTGTAGTATAATTGCGTTATTGTCTTCTTCATTCTTATTTTGATAGCTGGTCTGCGAGTATCAAAATATTTTTTTATTCTTACACATTTTAACAACAACATGCTCATTTAATAATCTATATTGAATTAAAATGAAAAACTTTAAAATATGTCTCCTCTTTGTATTTTTAATAGACATACTCCTAAATTCAGTGTATGTATGTAAGAATTTACAAAATTGAAAATTCAAATGAACCTATTGGCCATTATGGCCATTGCACAAATAATGGGCCAATGCTGATTCAAATGAAACAAATTCGACTATTTACTGCATGCGTAACTAACATTCAGTCCATAGTCGATAGAATATTTATCGACTGCAATCACTAGCTGCTTGCAAGCGGACAACACTTTTTGAGCATTGTCCTGTCATTTTACTCCATCTTGAAAAAAGACAGACTATAAGGAGTGGGATTCTCTGCCTTTAAATTTTAAAATTCAAAGATGCCTGCAGATCTGTGCTTCGATGAGATCATAGATACTCTACAAGTACGTCTCATCGTCGTCGACATCACAACTTACTATGTTGCGTATTCGCAATAAAGAGGGAAAGGACTCATCTTGTACAATAAATATATTTGAAGACAATTGCCCGTGATATACGAAGGAAAGGTCTTGTGAAGAAAAAATTGTACTTTAAAGATTAACATTTTGATAAAAAATCGAGTACAACGAGCATACCTTCCGCGTACAGAATCCTTGAAAGTTTTTCTCGATTGTACTTTCTCTTCTGTAGCTATTTTCTTTGGCGGTGATTCCAGTGGATTAGGATCATTCTGAAACAAAAAACAATTGCGAATTATTTTATGTCATTCACGTTGCGGACTACATCAGGGATACAGGTACATATAATATCATATCTTCTGGCTGTCAATAACCATAGTGCAGAGGTGCGCGACTCTTTATTGTGTGCGGTTGATAACAACTATAATACAAGGTCGACGACATCTGGTAAATTTGTAATCCCAAGAGTGACTAACTACTATGGAGATAGGACCTTAAAGAAACGTAAAATGTTGAAAGTACACCACTTTACAAATTTTTGTTGAGTAGTTAGTAATTATATTGTTTAAGTATTTTTAACATTGAGTGTCAGTTTGTAACTTTTTGCTCAATTGAGACTCGTTTTGATCCTGCAGTCAAACTGTATATACAGTTTTGTAGGACTATGTTTATTAAGTATATTGTACCCCTTTTTAAAATTCAAATAAATAATGAAATGTATAGAAAGTCGAACATTTCGCATTTCATGTCGTGTGTTTGCGTACGTACAACAAACCCCTAAAGTTTAATTTTACTTTTATAAAACTGCATAACTCACCATAGCATGCGATTGTGTAGTTGTGTAGCTGTCAATAGATATATCCGTCTCTTTCTCTCCCAACTGAGATGTTGATGGATCCTTCTCGCCCTCGCGCAGTGAGAAGGTCAGTACGCGATGGGTTGGTAATGGAGATGGTGTTGAGCCGGATTCAGAAGCGGTCGGAATTGTGAATCTAAGGTGCCTGGAAATAAAGCACACGGTTTATAAGTAATTAGTCCAAGCATTTTAGTTTTTAGGCAGTTTTTAGGTTAGCTATAACCAAATAATCCATGTAATGGCAGCCTAAATTACAGTTTAGTGACGTTATCTCACAGGTTATATCAGTTTTGTTACTATAACTTGGGCCATTATGATTCGTCGGGCTCATGTTTTTCTGCTGGCTATATCTGTGTTACTCGGCTGCTAAAAGCTACACGATAGGGATGCCGCCTGCTAAATTAACGCTTCAGTAACTTTGCCTTTACGGCGTCGGTGGCTTACTTGTTAGTGGAATCACTGTAATGAGTGTGGTTGCTGGCGGTTTCTAGCAATTCGTCGTCACTTTCGTCCATGTAGCGGGAGTCCACCGGTGAAACCTGTTCACGCTCTACTTCATTGTGACGTATCTGTTGATGGGAGAATATGAAGTATTAAAAAAATGCAGTAAATAACTATTCCGCCAGGAAGATCTGTATTCTAAATGTGCACTTTCTATTGTCTTCAGACAAATATGAGTTTATATGAAAATGTCCTTTACAACGTTTCTTAAACATTTAAAACAAAATAATGCTAATTACGAAATGCTGTTATTTCGACGAAACGTTCAATACCCGACTAAAACTCCTTTTATTGGATAATTATTTTTAACGATAATTATCGATGAGTTTCTTTTGAAACAGTTGTAATTTTGTTTCACTTCACTTCGTTGTATTTAGACAAGCAGTAGTTATACGAATTTATTTTATATTCATTATTATTGTTTGCGTTAGTGACGATCATATTATCCCTTGTCATTGTATTTTTAACCGACTCCGAAAAAAAATGGAGGTTCTCAATTCGACTATATCGCACTGCTAATACAATAGTGTATTAACTCAAAATGTGATTTTTTTCAGTATATAAAAAAATGTGTATAAAAACATATTTACCTCGATATTTCGGACGTATTGCAACTTCTATAAACCGATTGAGTCCAATCGGTGTATATAAAATATACGTTATGTCAAGAGATTACGAGTTGCGTGTAAATTATTATTGTAATACTAATCCTCTCTCAAAGTGCAGTACCCTAATGGGATCCATATGACCACATGTGTATTAAGTAAGAGCTTTTATAACATGTGATGGCACGAACACGACAATATGACATACATTTGTAAATACTTTACCTTCAAAATACTATGCGGAGTTTCAGCACCCATTCTTTCATAAGTTTTAACATCAGGGCTCTGTACTTCAGGCATGTCAAGTAGCGTTTCCATTTGCTGGCTCAACCTATCGCTGACTTTGAATGTGCTGCGCGGCGTCTTTGGCGTTCCGGATAGGTCAAGGCGCGCACGTTTTGGTGGCGTTGACTCCGATTGGACGTCCGTAAATACGCTGCGAAATCAAATGTTACAAATTGAATTTCACATGTTTTAGTTTGTAACCATGCATTTGTTTCTAGTATTGTTTACGCTAAAGGTAGTTGAAACAAAAGGCAGAGACTAAAGATGCTTTTCCACAGACGTAGTAGGACGAGGATTGAAATATTTGTTGATGTAATATTAAATCGTATTGGTACTTATTTACATGATTTACGCGATGCCTCTACGATGGCTGTTAATATCAATCGCGAGATGAGGTACGATAAGGTATCATGAACTCGCGATAACTATTAATGGCAATTTTGGTGGTAGATTTCAATTCTCATCTCGTCTCGTCTCGCCGGTAGAAAAGGACTTAACTCTCCTCAATGACAATGGTAGTTAAGATGTAAGTAGAAAATATATAATTTCATGCAACAATTAACTTTCTACATGTATTTAAAAATCTACTTACCTCCTACTGCGTGATAGTTTAGGTGTGCATATGAAAGGAGTTTCTTCAACGTTGAGCATTCGTTTGAGACCCTTCCTCATTCGGGGTTTGTTTACCCACGTCTCGCTAGCGTTTTCTATTGTATCCTACAATAAATCATTGCAATGTTTAATTCCCAACCACCAGGAAATAGTGTTAGAAAATGGTAACACTGACCCAATATTTATTAATTTATTTATGTTATTGTTCTTACCTGGATAAATGATGATTTGTAAGTAAAAGTGTTCTTAGGAGACGTAGCTTGCACGAAGACTGACATCGGCTTTGGAGCAACAACTAAAACAAAACCGGATTTTATAAATAATAATACAATCATATTGCCGGCTATATTTGAAAACCTTATAACTCCGTTTTTGAACGAAATCCCTTATTTACTCATCAAGCGCAATATCGGGAAATTGAAGTTTAAAATATAATTTGCAAGGACCTTTTTTAGCTACAAAATAAAGGTGTAATTGTCTATGTCTCTATCTCTATTTCCATCAGCGCAAAAGTGGCGTAATCCATATTCAATTTCCTTCTCTACAATATTATTTTAAATGATATCATGGATCAATATCACAAGTGGACTGCTAATTGCGATACAAGAAAGCGTAGTGGGGTATTTAGTGCCTATAGGTACACCAAATGTCGCAATGAGAACCAGATAAGCTATTTATTAGCCGACTTTACAAACAGGAAGAGGTTCTCATTTCGACTTTTTTCCCATTTAAATTTGAAGAAATTATTCCACCTCTAAGGGTGGCAAACTAAGTGATGAATCCGGTTTTGCGCACTTTCCGGTAACCGATTTCAATAAAACTTGGCAAATGGATGTAATTACACTACAAATGTTAAAATTCAGAAAATAATTTTAGCTCATTATCAATATTTGAATTACAAGCAAAAAAAAAACAGACCACTTATTTTCATATCAAAGAATTAATTGATATCCATAGCCATTTACATAATTTATACTACTTCCAGGATATCGACCTGCGCTTCCATCCTCAAAGCCCGCGCCGCGCCGTCTTGATATGCGGGATTTTGACATTTTTCAGAGTTGCGATCTGAGTATGGAGATTAGCAGGTCTTTTTAACCGACTTCAAAAAAAGGAGGAGGTTCTTAATTCGACTGTACGTTTTTTTTGTATGTATGTTACGCGATAACTCCGGTATTTGTGAACCGATTTTCACGATTCTTTTTTTGTTGGAAAGACGGCACCTCCATAATGATCCCATTTTATTTTGAAGAAAATCATCCACCTCTAAGTGTGGCTGATCACGCAAGAACATTCATTTTTATAAATAGCGCCTAAATTTTATTCTATCGCTATTCTCCAATTCAAGGCGTTTTTCTCTCTCAATATACTTTGAGTAGTGAGAACCGATTTTTATTATCTCCTGTTTCAAGTCCTGTACAGTGGCGAACTAGGTGATATTACAATAAAACTTAGCAAATAGATGTAATTCCACGTATTTTTGAGGTCGGTTTTTTTAGTACTCTGTACCGAGATTATAATGAGTTATTGGACAATGATCCATGTTTATAAAAATTTATTAATGGAATTTTTTTATACATGAGACTAGGTCCTCATCGAAACTCAATGGTGCTAACCGCTGGGTCAGTCAAGTAAATTTCCGGAATAAATAAGAAAAAAATACTATAAATGGTCAGAAATGAATTTATTGTTTCTCAAAATATTATCCGTTAGTGTTAATGCACCTTTTCATACGAATGAACCAATTTTGAAAACATTTATACATACATACTCTTCCGCGACAATCTCTGAAACATAGTATTCATACTCTTCGACAGCCTCTTCAGGCGATGAAAATCGCTGACCGCGTAACAGGTTCTTAATTTTTGGAAATAAATAAAAGTCGCAAGGTGCCAAGTCGGGACTGTATGCGGGTTGGCTGATAAGGTCAACGTTGTTCACCTTCAAAAATTCATTTGTCTATCTGGCCGTGTGAGAACTGGCATTATCGTGGTGCAAGATGATACGGCGTTTACGGTTATTTTTACGGAGTTTGTCAATAACTTCCAGCAAACAAATGGTCGTGTACCAATCACTATTCACGGTACGACTATTCTCCAAAGCAACAGTAGCCATGTGTCCAGTTTTATTAAAAAAAGAAGCAATCATCCGCTTAGAGGCACTTTGCACGCGCGCCACTTTGGTTGGTCTCGAAAGACCCATACGATCGATTGCTGCTTTGTTTTGCGATCGTAACTATAAATCCATGTTTCGTCACCTGTTACTATGTCCCACACCAAATTTGACGCCCCTTCGTTGAATCTGGTAAGCATGGCATTACACCAAGTGACGCGATCCGTTTTTTGAGCCTCAGTCAAATTGTGTAGGATCCACCGAGAGCACAGCTATTTCACACCCATATATTTGTGTAGTATTGATTGTATTTGACTTATGCCTATGTCTAAAGATGCCCGAATCTCATGGTATGTCACATGCCTGTCTGTTTTGATCATACGGCGCACAGCATCGATGTTTTTTTTGTTCACAGCAGTGGACGGGCGACCATCACGAAATTCGTCACTGAGATTCACATGACCGTGTTTGAATTCTGCAAACCAGCTATAAACAGTCGTCTTGCATGGTGCTTCATCGCCAAAAGCAGTTTGAAGCCGAGCGAAGCTCCGCTGAGCCGTTAAATTACACTTAAAGTCGTAGAAAATTATACTACGAAAATTTTCACGAGTTAAATCCATGATGATGTAGACAACCAATTTCTAAAATGACGCTACAAATTAAAAACAAGTGGCAGTCAGATGAAATAAACTGTATTCTGCAGCCAAAAAGTTCCATTCTCAAATGTTGTAATTACTTTTTAAATATTGTTTATGTAAGTGGCCAGTTATATAGTGCGCCCTCTGTAATATCGTCATGAGCATTTAACTTTAGAAAACAAACGGTAAGGAGTGGTTTTAAGTTATTTGTTGATAGCAAAACTCGTGCTTCTTTTGTATGGAAAAACGATATAGCTGTGGAAACAGTCAATGAATTCTCACTGTTTTGTTTTTCAATTTTATTATCTTTCTATGATATCAAATTACTCCGTTAATTATTGTAATTAAAATTACTCGATATTTCAAAATGTATGCGCATTATGCTATACTTACTATGAGGTTCCAGATCCTTCTCCAGTGCACAATGTGCAACAGTATTGGTGATAGTAGGCAGGGACGCACAGACGACTTCTACCAATGCGTCCCTCGCTCCCTCTCTATCCATTACGTCGGTAAGAGACTCTAACGACGCGGTAAGTTCCATCATTCGTGCTGGTTTCGAATGTTTTAGTTTTTTATTGTATTGCTCTGCCTCTAGATATCTGTCAAATTACGTTAGAATTTAAATAATTTTTGTAGTACGGACAAAATGAAGACATCCAAGAAACGTTTTGTAGTGTTTTCCTTAAGAAATGATTTTTGAAGAAATGATCCTTTAGTACATTAAATTATATACAGACGGAAAATTTAATCAAAGTAAACACGTAGATATAGAAATAAAATAAGTTAAACATCACCTTACTCACACACTCACACACGCACGCACGCACGCACGCACGCACGCGCACACACACACACGCACACGCACGCGCACACACACACGCACGCGCACACACACACACACACACAAACACACACACACACACACACACACACACACACACACACACACACACA